TGAAGAGGAGGAATGGCCTGGAAACAGGAAGTTGTTGTTTGGGGCAGAGGGGGACGGAGGTATAAAAATGAATATAGCACCTTTGTCAGACTCCTCCTCCTGCAGCGATGTTTTTTAATTAGTGTATTCATATTTAGTAATCAATTATGAAGCTGACCCAGTTGATCATTGTTTATATGATAGTTGATCAATTTTATCGCTTTACAGTGTCAGTCACTAGTCATGATCGTAACTTTTTTAAACCTGATGACATTTTAAAAATCTGCTCTAGGGGGCGTGTCTACAGTCTGACATGCTGTCTTACAGACACATTCTGTTTTTTTTGTTTGTGTAAATAAATATTTATAATGATGGAATTATTATTTGTGTTTAAAAAAAGAGGATGTTTCTATCGCAATTTTAAATCTACATTTGTGTCAAACATCTGCTTTTTGTCAATTCAGCAGCATCTGCAGGAGAAACACATTATTGATATTATTTGTTTTTCTCTGACAGTCACAGTGAGCAAAATAGTGACGAAACACTTGAGAAAAACAGGATCAAACATAAACAACAGCATAAAAATAATAATAGCAAAGGCTTTTTATTACTGACAAGAACAGAAAAGTTCACAGATAAAGATCAACCTTATAGAGTTGGGCCAGAATTTGTTAAAGTTCAGAAAAAATGAAGATGACTTTTATATATGAATTTATATGTGAGTTTGCGTGTGTGTGCATGTACAAACTCTAGTTTTCGTCTGTGCTCCGAGCGTCTTGTTGGTACTGAGCCATGAGTGTGAAAACACTCACTCTTTGTCACCAGTGTGTGTGAGCTGATGTCAGCACTCACTCTGAAAACATGTCTGGTGAAGCAGAACACACACACACACACACACACACACACACGTGAATGAAACACATACAGAAGAGTGTGCTGCTTATCAGCAGAACATGAGATTAGCACTCAGAGAGATGACGATCAAAACCTGACTGTTGTGATGGAGGTTGTTGTTTTTAGGGAAAAAAGAATAGCAGAAAGAAAAAAACTAAGTTGGAAGTTCAGAAAGATCAGAATTTGAGTACAGAATTTTTAATTATACAGACAGATTGACGTAACATGGAGGACATTAGGGCCTGAAGGATGACACGGGTGACAGAGTGGTTATGACGGTCGTCATTAAGTTGTCTGAAATATATACTGTCTGACAGGAAACGAATTGTTTTTCTTTTCAAAATGAAACACCTAATCCTGTATTATCAGAGACACAGTGAACTAAGAATTATTCTTTTTAATTCATATACAACATAGAGAGATTGCGAACTAACGATGCTATAAGCGTAAACATAGAAGATTAGAGACAGGTTTTTGTAGACCAATGCTGACAAAGTACAATACTGTAATTTATGTTTCACATACTGTATGTATTTTAAGATAAGGTTAGTTGATGTTGGTATATGAGTGGCCTCTAGGCTTTGATCAAATACAATACAGGAAATAAGACTCATTCTCACGATTTAAGGCATCATTGAAAACTTAATGCTAAAATATTTTCTCATGAAGAAAAATCACTTCATTCTTCAAAGCAGTACAATTTAATCAATTGGATGTGAAGCCAAGGTTTATTTTGAAATTCTCTGTCGGAAATGAACGCGTAGAATATCAGATTAACATGACTGTGGTGTTGGCATGCACACACACGGGGCGTGGTCAGTAGTGGTCAGTGTTGGACGGAGTTTCAGCAGCAGGAGACCCTTCCTCTTCACCCGTCTCCTATCACTGCATGCTGGGATTGATCTGCTCACCTCTTGCCTTCATGTCCAAGTGTGTTCTGGTCCTGCAGCAGCTCAGAGGAAGCGCTCTCTGGCTCTCGAGCTCTTTACCGACCCGGATTATTATTATAACTGATCCGGCCAAGAGTCACGTGATGCGGCTGAAGTCTCCGGCGCTTGGCTCCTGTCAACGGAACTGAGGAGAAGGCAATGCCGCAGAGTGCCGCCTGCAGGCGGGACTCTGATGCGCTGGTGTCCGCTCTCTTGGAGTTGGAGCTCCGGCGGCAACGGCAGCAGCATCGGGTCCAGGCCGCACTGAGGGAAGAAGAGGAGGAGAAGGAGGACCACAGTCCCCTGCTGGTAGGTCCAGGTCATGAACCCTGACCCCGGTCTGCACCCAAGATTACCCCGCGCAGTGATTGCTGTTTAATCGATCAGTTATTCTAATGTTAATGACGCAGAATAATTCGGTGACAATGTTGGAGTAAAGAAACGGTGACAAGGTTATTGATGAGTTATTGATTGATCGGACGATGATCGGTTCGTTAATGAGATTGTACATCGGTTTATTGATCAGTTGTATAAAATCTCATGGAATTGTTTTTCCTTAGTCTCGTGAGGTTGTTTCCTGCGAAGAAAAGGACATTTCACAAATAAAACAATAATAAAACAATAATGTACAGACATGATGTGCACCATACACAGGACACGTGTTACCCTTTTTTTTTTCAGGAACTGCAAATTGAGTATTGACCAATTAAGTAGTTTTAATTTTACAGTTAATTTAATGTTTTAAATAAATGAACTTTTTCTTTTGTAGACTTGTCTCAGCAGCACAGGCTCCACCTTCCTGTTTCAGCTGCAGGAACTAGAACGTCAGATTAGCAACCTGCGTCTGGACGCCAGTTTTGAAACAGAAAGCCGACCCAGTTCAGGTACTGGTTTACTGTGATAATATAATGTTTGAATAGCTGTGCGTCTGGGATGATATAATTTAACCCTTGTGTCTCTCAGGTTTTTATGAGCTGAGCGACGTCTCTCTCTCGAACTCCTCGAACTCCGTCTTCAGTGAATGTTCGGTACTAGATGCAGAAGGACACCGTCTCTTCACAGGTGAGAAACTCTGAAACAGGATTTCATCTTCCTGTTTCATAGTTCGTCTTTAATTATATGTGGGTGTGTCTCAGGGTTTTTGGAGTGAATCCCCAAGGTCACATGATCATGACAGTTTGCGAGATCTCGCTCAGGGTTTTTGGAGTGAATCCCCAAGAGATCTCAGTTATAAACTGTGGCATAAAATGTGGAACAGATTATGTTTTGGTGTAACTCATCTCAGTACTTCCTGTTGTTCCCTGACATCAGTTCCTGTGTTAATTAGCTGTTGGCTCACGTGACTTCCTCTCCTCACTCTTCTTAGATGACGTCATCAGCTGTTTGGACTGTGGTCTTCGAAATGACTTATCTTCTACGATTTGTCGCTCGCTCTCTGCTCCTACTCCTCCAGCTCTGAGTGATTCACCATCCAATGGTGAGTCAAACAGGTACCAGAGCCCGCTACACGCCTGGGCAGTCAATCAGACTTCAGGTCACAGATGTCCAGTCAGCGACGAGCCCTCCTCACTCCCTTTGGTACATCAGTGCCTGCCCTTGAGTCAGGGTTCTCCAGGACCACGGTCCTTCCCCCAAACTCTGTGTCAAAAACGCCTGGACATTTATATCATCAGCCTGTTGCAGCGCAAATCTCCACCCACGAGGAGCAGCTGCCCCAGAACCAGCATCAGCGCAGAGGCATCAAAGAATGCCCTGCGGCAGGCCGGTCTCTGTGCATGGCAGGTTTGTGGTCCTTCCCCAAAATACAACCAGACTACACCTGTCAGGCAGAAGATTTCTGCAGAGCAAACTCAGAACGGTACCAGTGGCAGAAATGTCCATGACGTGAGTGACCTGGCTCAGGTCCAGAAGAGTACTCTTTTTAACAAGGACAAACAAACGACCCAGACCCTGCTTCAGTCCTGCCCCCAGTCCATCACCACGCTGCTCTGTCCTAAAAGTGACTCCTCTCACCTTGAGACGAAGCAACCATGTTTCCCTCCTCTGCAGACGTCTGTTGAGCCTCCACCGATTGTCAAAACACAATCAGCGCTTTTGGCAAACAGCTTGGTGCATCTACAAGGCAACTCAGGTAAACCTCCATTACCAGGGCGGTATTATGAGGAAGGTCAAGAAGGTCAAAGATTGAAGAGAAGCTCTAAATATGTTTCCACCCAGCGGCACAGCAGGAAGAATGTCAAAAATGTCAAGAGGAAGAACGTAGCCACAAAGAAGACAAGTGGACAGTGTGATCATGAAAGAAAAGATGAAGTTCACCACAGCTTTGCCTCTAAAAAACCCCAGGCACTTGATGACAAAGGTTCTGCTCACCATCACCCTGTCACACCCTCCTCCTCCAGAACCAAACAGCGCCTTGTATCTGTCCCTGAAGGTTGTGTCCAGGAGAGACACACATCCAAACCCCACCGTCATCATCTCCATCGTCAGGTGCGTGAGTCGCCTGCTGTTGTTGCCAAACCTAAACATAAATGTAAAGATTATCGACAATTACGCGTCTACACTGGGATTCCCAATGATGTGGCGTTCAGGGAGGCTCAGCAGCAGAGAAACAAGAAATCCACGTGTGTGCCAAAAAGCCCGTATGCGTACGTCACAGGAAGTGACTCAGAATACTCTGCTGAATGTGCATCGCTCTTTCACTCCACTGTTGCAGACTCCAGTGAGGACGAGGTGTCCAACTTCACAGAGAACAGATTAGGAGACAGCGAGTCCAGCGTGAGCGATAGCACCACCTGCAGTGATACTGAGGTGAACACAGAGAGCGGAGCTGGCTGTGATACAACTGCAACCAGAAAACAGAGGGGCCAGTTGCGGGCAGCAAAGACCAAGGAGACAGGACAGGATGTGTCCTCGACTCGGACAAAGTCCTTTGTCAGGATTAAAGCGTCTCACAATTTAAAGAGGAAAATCTTGAGGCACAGATCTGGTCCATTCACACTCATGACCACCATGTGAGTGAACTTGTTTCCACAGCTCTCCAAATGATACGTCTAAAACTGGACCTGCAGTTTCCCTGGACTTGAGTGAGGTCAATATTTCTCCGATTTTAGTCTTAGATGTTACTATTAGCTCCAAGCAGTGTAAGCTTGGAGCTAGTACTGAGCAGACTGTTCTTCTGGACCTAACACTAAACTGTCTACACTTCAAGTGCTAATGCTAAACCTAACCTGCTACTTTGTGAGTATTGTGCTAAGCTAACTACTCTCTAAGCTGATTACTTTCCAAAAGTTAATGGTAAACCTACTACTAAGCCCTTCACTTCTGTGGTTTTATGCTTAGCCTAGCTTAGCTGCAGGTTTTTGTTTCAACCTATTCAGAACACACTGACTGACCAATCAGCTGTCTGAAGACTGAGCAGTTGATTAAAAGAGCCAAGTCAGGTGTGCTGCTGCTTGGTTGGAACAAACCTGCAGCCACAGCTAGCCCACCCTGCTCTACCCTCTTTGTGGCTCATTTAAAGCTTCCTACTCTCTTTTGGCTAATTATTAGTCAATTACTCTCTAGGTGCTAATACTCCACCCACTCTTTTTCTACTATCCCTATTGCTACATTGATTATTTCCTTAAACTCATGTAAAGCTAACTGCTTTCCCACTGGTGATTTACCTGATGATTTGTGGTTTATCTTGTGATACATCACTGAATGGGCTTTTAATACAACCGTGGCTGATTATGAACCTAATTTTTCGGCTGTGACTGTTTCTTTGACCTTGTGTCACACTGCCTCCTTAAAGCTGAAGAATGTCAAATGTTTTACATGTGTGGGAGCTTCCACAGGCCTCACATATCTGTAATCATTTATGTTGTTTTTGAGAGTCACTTAAACTTAATTCTCTGTCTCCTGATGTCTAACAGAGCATTGCTTTAGCTGCGTCTGTCCCTACTATAACTTGAATGAGCAGTGAGTTTAAAACTTTTAGTTCATCTGTCCCATCATGCCTAGGTCATGAATGCACACTGGCTTAAATGTTCGCCTGTGTAGCACCTGTACACTAGCGGTAATCTTAGTGTGTACATGATCGATTTCCAGACTGCAACTTTAATAAGGATGATATTGTCAGGAGTTTGAATGTTTTGAATGTTTGTGGAACACCATTAACCTTACTTGGTTAGTAATGTTTAACCACATTTGCCTGTAAACAAACTTATGATCTGTTTAAAGGACTGTCTGACATTATTTACATTTTTAGGTGCAAGGTGAAATTAAATCCATGTGCAGTGAAAGCAGCACAATTACATGTTGTTTTTATAGTAATGTTTTAGCCAAACCATCAGTACTACTGCTACTGCTGCTGCTGCTGCTGCTGCTGCTGCTGCTGCTGCTCTAGTGACTATGGTATGCTGTTGTTACAGGTAGCAAAACAAGTGTTATATTCTGCACTTCTATTATTTTAATTTATTTAGTTGCACAAACTACATACAGTAGCATTAGCTGCCATAACATCAACTGCTAATGAACTACTAGCTTCATTTTAGGAGAAAAGAAAACATTTCATAAACTGGTACAGTGTCTACATTTCACCGAGGGTGTGTGGAAATAAGTCTTGAGCAGCAGAGGCTTTCAGTGTGAGAAGTCTGTGAATTGTGTTTTGCAAACACATTAGCACTTTAGCTATAAGACAAGTATTGTCTAGTGTTCATAATTTGTGTGTTGGGGACTTTATTAGCTTTCAACAGCTATTTCTGGTCTGCGTTTTATAGTTTTTGCTAAGCTAAACACTGCACTTAGCGCTGCATATAGTCATGTGATGAACGTTACTAGAGTGTTTCAAATTTTGTGATTTTTTTTTCATATCCCTCGTTTTGAGAAGAAGTGACATGTTACCTTTCAATGCTGACCCTAATTTAAACCAAAGTAAAAAGAAAAAAAAAGGTTTTTTTTGTAAATGATTGTGAATGCTGGTAATTGTTGACTCTTACTTTAACTTTTATTGTGTGTGTTTGTAATGTTTTTCTGTTGCTTTATTATTTTTCTCTTCAATAAAGTCAACATGGGGTTTTTCACTATTCTGGTTTCTCTGAATCTAAAATACCAAATAGTGAAACCGTAAATACGTAAAACTATAAAAACTCTACCCAAGTAACTAATAAGACAATGAGGCAAGCTAAATTCAATGAACCATCATGGCTAACAGATGGAGCTACGTGTCAGCACCAGAAATGGTTAATGGGTATAGCTGGAAGAAATGGTCAACAGATGTAGCCAGCGGTTGACCATTTGCTAACAAACTGGTGTTGTAACAGACAAGGCCAGAATGAAGAGGGAAGTCATTTAAGATGCTAGTTAACCTAGCACCCTATACAGTAGTAAGAACAGCAATTATTAACAATCCCAGTTGACGGTTGCAATCTTTAAGCTATAGTAAACATGAAAACACGAGGGAATAACCAATGATGACAGCTAAACAGACAAGATTTCAGTGGATGAATCTCAGTGAGAAACCCAACACCAAAGTGCTACAACATGTCTACATGTCTATAAAGGACAACTGTTGTCTATATCGTCAGCTTTGAGTCCCGCTGACTGTCAACCATGGTCGGAGACTGTCTTAGTGACTAACAAATGTGGCTAATAGACGTAGCTAGCAAACAGGGGTTGTACATTTAGCTGCCCAAGGTAAATAGGCGAACAGCTCTTAGGTAATGTTGTCTTGTTTCTCTTTAATTCATGACTGTTTTCTTTGTGTTATTATCATTGTTATCTCCTTTAATTACTGTACCAGTGTTACATGTTTCACCTCTTACGTCTCCACTGTGTTTGTGTGAACGCCCCCTGCAGTTTTAAAATGGAGCCTGAGGCCACAAATCAGTGTGATCACAAATCATTGCATCTGCCCGCAGTTGCACACACATACACACATATACACAAACACATTAAATGTAACCTTACATGTGCAGTTGCGCATGTGTGTAGGTCAGTGCTGTTATAGCGTCACCATGATGAATATTAAGTGAACTGTCACAGTGATTAATGAGTGTCCTCCACTGGACTCTGTGTATGTGTGTGTGTGTGTGTGTGTTCATTCTGTGTCCACCCCTTCCACATTGCAGCTACATCTAGCTACAGCCTTCAAAATGAGACACTACCAATGTTACTCTTTGTAGCCAGATCTGTGAGCAATGTCTGTTAAATATGGTTAAATAAGTACCGTTTTCATTTGGAATCCCTGCAGTCATTGTGAATGGGTTACTCAGAGTGTGCACTGGTGTGTCCATCTGTACTGTTTTGCCCTCTGACAGTGTCTTCTCTTTCTCCTTCCATCCTCAGGTTGTTTCAGCCTTTGATGCAGTAAATGTTTATGAGTTCAAAATAGAACCAGGAGCTGGCAGCTGTGACAAAACAATGGTCAACATTCGGTGTGAACACACTTATCGCTTCATGTCGAGGACAGGTACTCTACACCGTCCAAAAACACCTTGATTTCAGGTCAGTTATTCACTCTTAATTGACCTTAGGTACATTTGTTAGTTTGAATGGTTGTCTCTATAGCCCACACTGTGATAGCCTGAAGAACTACTGTACTGTATGTAGGGTGTAGCTCTGCTGGGATGGACCGCAGCCCCAGTACTGATGAACAGGAATAAAAATGTAAAAATGAGTTATCACCTGTTTTGTGATGATATATATATATATATATATATATATATATATAAAAACGCTCATCTTGTAGCAGCCTAACCCATCCTGCTCATGTCTGGTTACAGAATCCTCCTGTATGTTTATAAACACTAACATCAAATCTCTTATGTAGAAGAGTATTAGTCATGTCTGGTATCCACATCTGTTTACCTCATTCAACTGCTCTGGATAGGAAATGTGCAACATTTATGGCGCTATAAAAAAATGTGGCTCAAAGATTTAATTTAGGGGAGTGAGAGACAGCACACACACACACACACACACACACACACACGTATCAGCTCGGGGGGAACAGAGGTATAAATCACTGCAGTTTTACAGGAAACACTGGAAAAACACCTTGACTGTCCTTAAACACACACACACACACACACACACAGCAGCTGTGATATAAACCTACAGCAGGTCACGCTGCTACAAGCAGGACAAGAACAGAAACTGTTCCAGTTATTTTGAGGAGAACCCTCAGAGACTCTGAGATGGTTCTAGATTTGGGACATAATACGATGGTGAACCTTCAACAGCAGCACCTTCAGGAAGTCCTGGATTCTTCCACTGCATCAACAAGATCCACGATTAGTTTTTCACCTTAGATTTTCATTTCTGTTTTTTACTGCTTCATGACCTTACTGTCGTCATGGAAACACTAAAGGACGAGAAGAAATCCTTTACACATTCGCACAGTGGCTGCAGGCTGCACCTCACACACTCGCCCACGCCGCCGCCCACACATTGCCTCAAACTGTATGCTTTCAAGGTTTGTGAGAAACTGATGTTGAGACCTACAAGAATAGTCAAGGTCTTCAGCTTCACTGTTCACAGCTCATTTCTATGAGGACAGTGATTTGTTCTCTCTTTGGTTCACCTTTATATTTAAAAAAACATCATTACACTTTGACATGTTATTTTGACTGTGATTTTAATGTTCAATTATTACTATGCCTTTGAAAAACAATTTTTTGAAAAATACTTAAAAGCTAAGGTTTAATAACAAAATTGAACTCATCTCAATGCATTTAATTGAAAGACAGACAAAGATTTAGGAACGACAGCCAATGGAGGCCCCACAGTGCTGACTCCTCATCTGCCTGAGGACTTCATCAATAAGTGGTCACTGGATCATCAGCTGCTTCACATTTGACCTGCAGGTCAGGGGTCAGTCAATATTGAAGAACTGGAGATGAGAGCATTCAGCATCACACTGGTGCAATGACCAGAGGAACCTGCTCACTCCACCCCAGAGACCGTGTAAAGAACACAAAAAAACCAAAAACATTTCATATCAAAGCCCTGTGGTGTGGCTGATCATGGTGAGTTCAAATGTAAGGCTTTTATTGGTGTTTCTTTAGGCTGCAGGCTTATCCTGACCCTTTGTCTTTGTTTTTATTTTAGATATGCTGACACTTTCTGGAATGCACCACTGCCACCTTCTGGTAAGAATGAAAGGGAAAAAGAGAAAACACGTAATATTATTGTATGGAAAAACACTTATATCTTTGAAGTCACTGCTTGTCCACAGACCTGGAAGAGTGAGTGGTTTGTAAGCTTCAGTTTTCTGTTACTCTAACCAATATCTAACAATGAGGCGAGCCGGTTCCATATAAGACAGACTTGAGATGAGTTTTCTGTTCGGCCACTAGAATCTATTTTTGCTCTTTTTCCCCACTGGCAGCTATAATCTCGCTGAGCGCCCCCTGCTGCCGCACAGTGTAGAGTAACATTCAAAATATGTCTCAGTAATGCAGACACATACTGAGTAATTTTATTGCAGCTGTCTGTCAGAGGTCAGCTGTGGATGTCTTATGTGACATTTGGCCCAGACAGAGTTACAGCAGAACCTGAACTGACTCCAGATCAGCTAATAAATATATCTTCCCTCTCTCTCTCTTTCCAAACGAATGCATTGAGAGTTGTTCTTTGTAAAGAATATACATATATAATTGAACTGGAGGAGGCGTGAAATGGGTAAACATCCAATTAGTCAACATTTTTATTGTTGGTTCATTTTAAAGGATAGTTCTGGACATTTTCAACACTTAGTGCTGTTCTCCAAGGTCAAAGAGAATTGACTGTTAGAAAAAGATAGAGCACTTGGTCAAACACTTGTTCCGAGATGTTTGGGATGTGGCCAATGTCTCCTTGCAACCTTCAGTGGGGTATAGCAGTAGAGGAGAATGAATGCATAAATACCAGAGTTATAATTCCAAAGGTTATTTTAATCAGTGTGCCATCTTCAATAGCGTTGAGAAGTTCTGTTGTTATTTTATCTTTTAATATTATATCACCATGTGCTGCGCTGTGTATGTTTTTAACTCTCAAAAATGAACACTTTCAAAATCAGAGAAAAGTTAAAACATTTAATTTTTTAAATTAAAAACACCACTACAGAAGAATTTCAACTTTAGTTTAGTGTGTAGAGAAATATAGCTGCATTTTCATAAATAAAGATTTCACATTTGTCTTAAACGGTTTGACTTTCTTTGTTCATTTGTATTTCAGCTTAAATATTTAAATGCTAAAGATGTGAATGACCAACCCACGCAGATCACATTCAAGGTTTGCAGCCTGTTTTTTTCTTGGAACTTGGAACAGCTCCACAGCGCCTCCTGCTGTCACTCAGCTCCAAAGGCGGCTCTGATAACTACTGCGCAATTTCAATGTTTGCAAAATGAAGTGGCACATATTGTCCAGCAGAGGACAGAAAAACACACTCACACAACCACACCCAGTCAGTACAAAACACGAACATTATTGTGTGACTATGAATCATCATAAGGAATTTCTTTAAAGCTGACGAAGGGTGTGTGTGTGTGTGTGTGTGTGTGTGTTTACGCTTGGTGAGGGTTCCAATCTGGTGGTGATATTCACTGGGTCGTATAAACTTTATACAGAGGAACCACACATGGTTATCTCGCTGTCGCTCGCTCTCTCTCTTTCTCTCTCTCTCTCACACACTCACACGCACACACGCGCGCGCAAACAAACACGCGTACACTCTGTCGCTTCAATCTGAAAAGTAAAGTTTATTTTAAAGTAAAACAAACCCACAGCTTCATCAATATCAAACCGGTCTGCTGGTCTATTGCTGCCCCCTGTCGTAAGTTTGGTTTACTGAGCAAAATCTATATATGGAATTTAAAATCCCCAAACCACAGAATAACACGGTGGGACACGCTGATGGAGGCAGCAGTGGATCAACGACTCTAGTGTGCTGAAGGGAAAAAAAAATCACAGATTTTCTCTGTGGACCTCTGTGTGGAGGAGTGAAATTCGTAACAACCTGGAAAATGTTAAAAAAAAGGAGGATGCTTAAACTGTGGTTAAAGCCACAGGCACAGTTTTTAGTTGTTATGGACTGAAGTAGACACAAGTTTTAGCAACGTAATCTTTGTTTACCAATAATCTGGTTTCCATGGCAATGACAAATGCAGTTTTTAATAATCCTGGAAGGATCTTGAAGAGAGTGGAAAAATGTATGAGCAAAACAAATGGTGATTCACATGGAAACGACACTCCCCTCTCTCCCTGTGGTTGGGTTCCTGTGTGTGTTCCTCTATGTGTGTTTGTGCTGGGTGTGGTCTTCCATGTGAGCAGGGTGAGGCTCAGAAATTTAAACGGTCTCTTCAAGTCAGGCAGTGTGAGTCTGCAGCTCAGGTGAACACAGGTATGTACTCCCTCTGTCTCCCCCATAGCTGTCCTCCTAAAGACTCCTTCTTGTCTCCCCGTGTCGGTCCTCCTCATGTCTCCTTCATGTCTACTCTGTGTCTCTTGTCCTCACATCTTTTTTTAATGTTTTTTTTTTTTGTCTTTTCATATCTCCTCTCCGTTCTTCTTCTCAACATCCTCTCTGTGATTTTAATCCCTCCCTCACCTCCTCATATGTCTTCTTTTTGTTCAACTGTTTTTGTAGCTTCTTAAAGAGACAGTTCAGGTTTTTTAGACAATTCACTTTTGCCTTGTCCTCAGCAATAACATCTATGTTAAGTGTGTAATGTAACATATATATTAATATATATTTATATAGATATATAGTTATAAATATGTGTTCAATGCTTATTGTTGCTGTTAGAAAACTTTAGAAAACAAACATTTTGAACAGGAAATTGATAGCAAGTTATTTGAGTTGTTGATTCTTTTCTGCCTCCACAGCAAAGTGCAAAAGTGTTATTTTGTGATGTCACAGCATCAGATATCTTTTATCTGGAGTTGTCTGTCACAAAATTACCACCCAGGGCAGCAGTCAGTCCAGCATCTGCTGAGTCCATTTGAGCTGCAACTGATTTCTTATTGACATTGGTGCCAAAGAAACACATATGTTCATGTAAACATGGGTTATTGATTATTATAAAATAATAATAGAAGCTCTAGAGTTGCTTTGGTAAAAGTCAGATGCTAAAGGTCAGGCAGCTGGGGTGTGTTTGACTCTTTTGTTTCACAGTTAATCAGTTATTGTAAAGAGCTGTACTCAACTGATGGACTTTGCTCTCTTTCACTTTATCTGAAAATATACATTTGCTTTAATCAATCATCAATAATCAGGCCTGAGGCTCACTCCAACATCTGTGTGGAAAAGGTGGGTTTGTTTTCAACACCTGATTGTCTACAATAAGAAGTAAACTGACCAGTTGGATCGCACACAAAAATGTATGCATGTGTGTGTCCTGTTTAACTGCTTTGTATAATAAGTCAGGTGACAATGACTCAGTTAGGAAATATCACTAACATAACAGAAATATAACATTTAATATAACAACATAATATGTTCTTTAATGAATTATTGTTCACAGACAAATGGCCTATGTTTCTCTTCCTACCCAGCTGGGGTTGCTATGGATGTGGTTCATATGTCCTAGTCCATGGGTTGAGCTGAAGCATATGTCTTTATTAATATATTTATCAATATAGTCAAAATGAGAACAAGAAGAAGTAGATTCAGCTTTCAAGGCCAGAAGTTTCTCAGTCTGTGTAGGAAGTTAAGCTCGTGACAAACACATCTAAGCTGTTGGGTAATCACTGAAGTGATGCTGCACTCTCTTGTTCCTCGTGCCTGATATAAAAACTGGAAGAATTTAATAACAGCCTATTTTCACACATAACACAATAAATTTAATTAAAAAAGAGAGAATGACAGCGTGTACAATCCAGTGTGATCCTATGTAATTATGTCATATAACTCTACTGTGTGTGAGTGTATTTGTATTCTACATATTTTTCACTGTTTTTAATTTTCCACTCTTGACTGTCTTGGTCTACAGTCAGACATCTGTCCTACATACAGCAAAGAATTATGTAATACTAGATAGACACTGCTGTCTCTGACTAGTTTTTCTAGTTTTTTGGCAGAGGCCCAGTCGAAGCTGACTATGGGAAAAATATAGCTGAGATGTGATCCATAATCTAAATACTAGGTATGGACCACGTCATTTTTTGTTGTATGTAGTCCAATAGTGTTTCTTAAACTTGGCCACAAGAGCTTTTCTGCTCCTTATGTTTTTTCACTGAATAAGAATAAGAGGAATGTGGTGATGAGGGGCAGGTTCTGGGGTCAGGGTAGGGTCTTGGGCCTTTTTTCGTTTTCATGAATGTTGCTCTTCCTGTTGGGACTTGTTCTGTTGCTCTTAAATCTTCTCTCTGTGTTTCAGATCTCAGATCACCTTCATGGATGTAAGTCTCATGTCCTTGGTTTCAAACGCCGTAATAATGAGGACGTTCAGGTTAAAGTGAAACAAACAAACAAACAAACATACACTTAGAGCTGATGGTACTGCGTGAACCTCTTTCCACTAGAACTGGCCGGAGACTACGGGGGGGGTTACAGGCTCTCTCAGGCTTTAAGTAGAAACTGAAAAGAAAAGTATGTAAGCCACTTACCAAAACTAGCCTTGAGGGACACTAGTGCTGGTCTACTGCTGCCTGATTGTCCAAAGAAATTTGAAAAGAAGGAACATCTACAGATGGATATATATACATTATGTATCATGTGATGTAAAATCATAGACTTTGTTGTGTTAGGATTATTTTTCAGTATCCTGTTTGTGTATGCTGTCCCCCAATGTGTGTGTGTTTGTGTCTGTGTCTGTCTTAAACAAACACCCTCATTCCAAACATTCTTTTTAACACACCCATAAAACAAGTCTCCTGCACTACTTCTTGGGACAGCTTGGACATTTCTTGTGTCCCTGTTTTGTCTCAGTCTTTAATGAAAGACAGCATTTCCTGATGGACAGTGGAGGACGTGCATTGACTCCTTCATCTGTTTCTGCAGCTCTCTGACGCCCTCGAAGACTGGCCATCTGGTGGTAACCAATCAACAGGCAGCGGCATGTGGTCTGGAAACAACCCCAACCCCAACCCCAACCCCAACCCCACCTGGCCAGGTCTGGTTGATTTAGTCGTTCACACGGTAATAATGAGGTCACATAGTGGTGATGAAGTCAGAATAATGTTTGTGTTCTCTTGCCCACAGGTCAACCTGCATCCAACCCCACCTGGCCAGGTATGGTTACTGCAGCCCTACTCTAGTGTTAAGGTCACATGGCTGAAATATTGTCACATCAATTTCTGCATATGTTTGCCAACAGGTCAACCTCAGCCCAACCCAACATGGCCTGGACAGCCATCTGCAGGTGGACCCACATGGCCTGGAGGACAACCCACCCAACCTTCCTGGCCCTCTCCTCAACCAACATCAGGAGGAGGTTGGCCAAGTCCCGCTCCTGGACCCACGCCGGCTCCCCCATCTGCACCTCAGAGAAGTCTGGTGAGCGTGACACACAGACAGACAGACATTACACACACACAGACAGACACATAAAGAAAAACTGAACAATTTCCTTTTGTTCTTTGTGCACAGAGTGTCCCGTACTATCATCAGCTTCAGAATGGAGTTCATGACAAAATGTTGATCACCATTGTTGGAACTGTCAACCCCAATCCACAAAAGTAAATGATGGGACTGGGGTTTGGGAGGTCAGGGGAATGTGGGTCGAATGTCATTGAAAATCATGTTAAATATGGTTGGATGACTGTTGGATGATGGTCTTCTATTTCTGTTTTTCAGGATCACAGTGGACCTGAACGCTGGTCATGACTTTGCCTTTCACTTTAACCCTCGTTTTAATGAGGATGGCCATAAGGTGATCGTCAGGAACAGCTGCATCGGAGACAAGTGGGGAAAAGAAGAGAGAGAGATCTCCAACTTTCCCTTCGTACCTGGTCAGAGATTTGAGGTATGGTATTTGTCTCATCTTCATTTTCAAATACATTTCGGTCCGGCAGCTAGGGGGCGTGTTTGATGCTTTTGTTTCACGGTGAGTCAGTTATTGTAAAGAGCTTTTGTCCCTGAACAAAATAGGGGGAAGTGAATGTAGGGTTTCAGTTTAATTTATTCTGTTCCGTCTGCAGATGTGGATTGTTTTGCATAAGGCTGGCAGAATAAACAGACTTGTTTTCTATTTTTTCTGACGTAGATGAAGATCTTGTGCACCAACACAGAGTATCGAGTGGCTGTAAACAACTCTCACATTGTGGAGTACAAACACCGCCTTCCTAACCTCAGGGCCATCAACAGGCTTTCCATCTACAATGATGTCACACTGCACGATGTGCAAGTGACAAGATTACCATGAAGGCTTCTACCCAGCATGAAGAGGAGACATATAGCCAAACTATAAAGATTAATGTCTCTATGCTCTTGAATATTCCAATAAAGTGCCTGTGATGCTGCTGCTGTTCTGTCTCTGCCTTTGACAACATCTAAAAATATCAAAATGACAAGAGTAGCATTAAGAATGTAGTAATTAAAAACAATTTATTATAATTTGCTCGTAGAGTTTGTTATTTGAATGTTTATGTGAGTCAACTTTTGCTAACCTGAAATAAAATAATGCTATACAAATAATTAGGTTAAATAAATATAAATAACCTACAGGTGACTCGTGAACTATGAAAACGATGAAGCTGTGGAGGATTAATGATGGGTCTCATGATAAACAGCTGTAATTAGTGGTAGGAAGTTTGTTGACGTTGGTTGGACGAAGAGTGTGTACTGATACTTGAGCATCAGGGGGCGACATCGTGACACATCCATTGCTGCTGCATGTTTGAGGAAAAGATGGTGACTTATGTCCAAATAAGCCATGGCTGGATAGAAACCAAAGTCAAATACCATCTTTGGTGTTCTCTATATATTCTTGACGATAATACCTTCGATGGATCAATCTAAATATATATATATTTAAACACGTGGAAGAATTTTAGCTGCGTCACGTCATTAACAAATCAATTGCAAATGCACAAGTACGTCACTTTCATTAGAAATTGATTTTGAAAATATTCAATGTTGTCTATCGTACAGTAAAGGTTATATCACGTCATAATGGTAAAAAGGTACATTAAAGCAGTAACAAAGACGAGGTTTCTATGACTGGCGCGATTATGTCGTAACATGGGTTGTTTCTTAGTATCATCGATATGAAACCTATGTTTTCTTGGGTATTCCAAAGTAAAGTCTTGTTTGAAAAAAAAACAAACAAACAAAACAGTCCCATAATGTTCTCCATACACGAGCTTACTCCGCTACGTCATGACGTAGCAGCAACTGTACGTCAGGGTGTTCGGGAGCTGTCGTCTTTAGTTCGGTTAGGTCCGCTGCTCTCGGTTACTCGGTGACTTCAACCTTTAAAAAACAACTTTCACCGAGAGGTATCGCACTAACCAGTAGTGACTGACGGACCAGTCACGGTAAAACAGCGGCGAAGGGAGGCTTGCAGTCGCGGACACATGGGTGGATTCCTGTAAGGTGAGTGCAAGGGTCGGCCTCTGTTCGAATCTGTGACCGAAATCGGAGCGTCACACACAGGTCCGTCTGCTAATGTCCCGGGCTAGTCTTTTCACCAGGTGTGTAAAGGTTTCAGGAGCCGCGGCTACGTGCACGCTAATTAGCTTTAAGGTCAGTTAAGTTTATGAAGTAGTTGACAAGGTGTCATTACTTTGTCTACCGTTGTTTACCGCATTCTCTGCCTCACATATCCGAGTCTGATGCCCGATGCCGAGATATGTGCTAACGGGCTAACGTGCTAAGGCAGTGGAAGTAAAGCAGAGGCCTTAGGGGTCCACGAACAAAATAAACCCTGAGGGCTAGTTTACAGCTGGATAACAACCGATCAATAGCTGCTTTAATACGCCTGGTTGTTGACACTTCCTTGAAGATTTGGTTAAACAGCCCCAGATTCAATACGACCTAGTAAACAGTAAGTCAACAACTAGTGAACACCTGCCACTCCTCAGTATAACGTTCTCGTTCGGCGAGCCAGTGAAGGCACCTAGGGATACCAAAGGCTATAGTTATTGAATCCAATGATTACATTTGTGTCAGTGTTTATTCATGTTTTCATGGAGCTGACACATTGAGGCTTTAAGTCATCATCGTTAAGAACATTCTAGCAAGTCTTGAATCGACTTTATGTACGGTTAAGGTTGCATTATAATTTAACACTATTACCATGAGGTTTAGGCTGGAAGTGGACCTGGAAGTACTAATACTCATACGAGTATAGTTTAGTACTAGACCTAACTTTGGGTTCTGCTGTCTTTCTAAGTAGGACGTCAAGACGAACTACTTACTAAGTACTGGGTTGCAACCAGTATTGTTGTTATGCTATTCTGTACATAATGAAACAACAAACCCACTGGTGTCTGGTGTTGTGCTCTGTGTATCACCTTTAAAAACTGACCAAAACTGCTAGAAATCAGGAAAAATGACCCATCTTAGTTTAGTTTTAGCAGTCATGCGCACTGCTGTTGCTATATCTGGAACAAGGAAGTACTCGGTTTGTAACACTTGTAACACAGGGTTACACACAGGAAGAACAAGTGCAAAATAGTTTTCATGGAGTAAACCATCTTGTTTTCCATCCTTGGCTTGTTGTTTAACAGACACAGATAATCATTTAGTTATATTATCTGTCTGCAGTGCATTTATTTAGTGCTTCTTAGTCTTGGTGACCACAGAACTTGGTAAAACTGCAGTTTTTTTCTTACATCTACTGCAGTCTACTGATTAAAAAACTGATTAAACTGATTAAAAACTGATTAAACTGATCCTACAGTAGAGAAGCAGGAGTCTTTTAACTCTTTACACTGATTACCTGCACCCTTCACTGCCACTTTATTGTTCAATATGTATATTTTCTTGTTCATTATGTATATTTTTCTAAAGTTTACTTAAATTTTAGAGTGCTTTTTGCTTTTTAGTTCTTTTTACTCTATTTATTGTGTTAACTCCTCTTCTCTCGTTTTCTGCACTGCCACTGGCTACTGTACTAGTATGTTTCCCCCAAGGGGGGTGAATAAAGCCCTACTCTACTCTACTCTACTCTACTCTTTCTACCACAAAGTAGTTAGCCTTCTGCTCTGGCATAAGTTTATATCTTCTTCCAGTTAGACTCTCTGCTGTCACTGTGGTACCATTTACCATACCAGGTAAATTTCTGTCATTGTCAATTATTTTCTTGGTAGTAGGTCTGACTGGACCAACTCCTCGTCATATTGTCAGATTGAAGATGAGAGAAATAGTTGACAACGTGTGTGTATTTTTACAAGGCTAGAAAATATTCAGACAAAACAGCAGTAGATGTACAACAGGAAGACTTAGCTACCTACTCAGGTCTGCTTGTGTATAGCCTTAATATTATTAACTATCTGTGTATATTTTAAAGTTTGTTTGTTTTTTTAACAATATTTACAAACCGTGTTTCAGCTTCTGCTGACATGTTACTTTGCAGTTTCATCCTTTCTCTCTGACGCACAGTTACAACTTATGTTGTTCACACTTAATGTGTGTGTGTGTGTGTGTGTGTGTGTGTGTCCAGGTAAAACTGAAAGAACCAGTTTGTTCACTTTGTGAAGCTCTTTGTGATTTTCTCTGCAGGAAACAAACACAGACAGTGTGTTTTCCCAGCATGTTGTGTGGTTGACTGGAGGGTGTGGTTGTCTAAAGAGCAGGCTGAAACAAGTCTCATAGTTGTTAAATTGTTACACAATGTTGTAATGTTGTTGTTTTTTTTAAAACTATGTTTCTAATGTAAAGGAGTTTATGCCTCCAATCTCTTTATGGAACATCAACTTGTTTTTGTAAATTATTATCCTACTTAGAAATAAACTGTTGCACAGGTAAAAAATTGTTTATAAGCGTTTGGTGACAGAAAACCTCTGTTAATGTCTGTATTAAAAAACAAAATGCCACTAGTAAAAAAAATTATAAATAAATTTTAAAACGGGACATCTGAACACCAGAGAACCAGAGATTTTTGCTTTTCATGTGACTTTTTGACTCTGTTAATGCTGAACATTCTGAACCAGAGCTCTGGTTATGCTCTAGCCCAGTTGTGTTTATTTCCTGGCATTTACAGAATAATGTACTATGATGTAATAGTGACTGTAAGACAATGTATTTGATGTGTTTCTGTTGGACAGTGCTTTGATGACTTACGGCGTCTGGACGGGTGGAGTTTAAAATAAACAACTAAAAGATGTGAAGCCAAAGGATCAGAGGAGCTGTCACTCAACGCTGGACAACACCCCTACCACTACTGCTGACCAATCAGCACACAGCGTGGAGGTAACTACATGCACAAACGCAAACGTTCAGCAGAGGCTGGGAGTAATGGGAAAGTGCAAAAGTTCATGGGTGCTTTCTTTTTTTGTGGTCCTTAGGAAATGCATTGATACAAAGATATGATGCATTTACTGGTCAGGTTGTTGTCTGTAACTTTCAGGGGTGGTTACAATGTTAATGAAGAAGACTCTTGCCCCTGCGGTGCCTGGTTCTCGTTTGTAGAATGACATCATTCAGCAGTGAAAGAAAACAAGTTTGAGCATTAAACACAATCAGTGCAGTTATATAACAGCGGGCAACTAGCACACGTGATGTTAATAAGATATCACTGTGTGTTCATAGTCACAACGCAGTGACATCATGTTCCCACTGCCCGTCGACCATCTGTTTCATATGGGATCAGACTTACAGGCATGTCGTCATTGTCATAGCAACTGGTAACAATTAGGATTACATGTCCTGAAGTGAGGCTGTATTACATATCACCAAAAGGTCAGAGGTCAGGGATCTTAAAGTAATGGAAATGTCTATTTAAACAGTGTGCATGTGCGTGTGACACTCTAAGACCTCCTCTAGAGTACAGGCAGTCTGTTTTAGTGAAACATGCAGGTCCAGCTGGGGTTGGCTGACCAGACTGAACCTACAGGAAAAACAGATGCAGAGACAGTGTCTGTCTGATTTTGTCTCCTACAACTGAATAGAAAGTTCTAGAACAAAAAAGAATACATGTGATCACATTTCCATTTTTTTAAGGTTTGTATTGAAACCAACTAGAAGAAACCTGACCAGACAAAATTAATGGGTCAGAGATTGGTCATTTGACCCCTCCCCTAATCAGTGACGATGAACATGAACAAGGTACAAACAAATAGAACCTCTTCATATTCTTTACATACTCTGAGTATTTCAAAATAAAAATGTTAAGACTTTCACAACAGGGAAAGAATTTATTCTGACATTCTACGACAAAATAAAACTCAGCCCTGACCCCTGTGTCTCTCTGTCTCACCCTTTTCTCTCTTACCCTTTCTTTCTTTCTCTTTTACTCTCTCTCCTTTTCAGGAACATCATGCACCTAAAGTCGTATCAAGAGTCTTTGCGTCTGGAACAGTCTGGCATTCAGGTGCCATCATTTGGGAACCAACAGGGGGCGCTACTGAAGACCTGTGGCAGTAACCAGAGCACTAGCCAAAGCAGTGGCCGTCTCCCGTTCAGTGTGATCTCCAACAACACGCTCCGCCGCAGCAGCACAGCGAACAGCAGTGGCAGCGTTACATCAGTGTGGCTGAAGCCATCACGGAATTCAGCCCCACATGTCCACCTGCTTTCACCAGGCTGTGAAAATGACACACTCAGGTTTTACCAGAGTGAGGACACAGACTCCCCGCTAGACATTTGGACCGTCATCAAGCCGGGACATGTGCGAGAGAAGATTGCCATCTTTGCCTCAGAAGGAGAAAGTGGTGATCACTGTTCAGCGAGCGCTGACAGGACTTCACCTACAAACACACGGGGGGCTAAGGCTAAGAGCAGCTGGGAGGAGAAAAGTAGTGCAAAACGCCGTCGTCGGTCTGGAAGCAACCATAGACCTGCACCGCATCAATCTGAGACGTCTATGAATGAAGGTGATATGGTGGCAGAGGCAGAGGAAGACGAGGAGCTAAAGGTGTCCGTGGTGGAGATGGTGGCCTTCTTGGAGCAGAGAGCAAACGAGCAGCAGACGGACTGTAAACCTTCTCTCACTCTCCAAAGAAGCTCCACTACAATCACTCTCTCCAGGGCCCCACCTACTGAGGTCAAAGAGGAGGAGGCAGAGAGTGTTAGGGTGTCAGACATGGTCGCCAGGCTAGAATCCAAATGTCTGAGAAGGCGAAGTCAAGGTGATGTGTCCAGGAGCAACAGTCTGAGAAGGACAGTGGGACGTGTCCTTCTTGTCTCTGCTGAACAAAGCCCCTCCCACTCTTCGCCTATGTCATCACTGCAGAAAACACCCTCCAATTCAGACCACGCTGCCTCACCAGACCAGAACGCATCTCCACACCCTGTTTTTGATGAGGCAGATGGGCGTAGCTGTCAGGTGACTGCACCACAGGGTGAGGAGCCCCCACCAGGCCTGTTGTTTCTGTGTCCTATTACCAACTCAAACTCCAGCCCTAGCCACCCTAAAAACGACTCAGAGCCTGCTGTAAGCCCTTCCCCTGACCCTCCTGAGGCTGAGGGTGGGACCATGGACTTCTTGCTGATGCGTCAGCGCGTACGTCAGCTGTTGGAGCCTCAGCCGCTGCTTGCCCTCTTACCTCACCACCTGCTGGTCAGCATCTTCTTGCTGCTGGATACACGCAGTCTTGCTGCCCTCAAGTGCGCCTGCCGTTACTTTAACTTCCTCATTCAGACATATGGGATTCGCCCAGCCGACGCTCTCTGGGTCTCCCACCCACGATACAGAGATGACCCTTGCAAACAGTGTAAGAAACGCTACTTCCGCGGTGATGTGTCGTTGTGTCGATGGCACCACAAAGCTTTCTGTCAGCCGCTGCCGCATGGACCAGGGTTCTGGATGTGCTGCCATGGCAACCACAGGGATACACCTGGGTGCAATGTGGGCCTCCATGACAACCGGTGGGTGCCTACCTTCCACAGCATCAACTCTCCTGTTTGTGGGCGGAGCCAGAACATTGAGTGAAAAAGGGCACTCATATCAGATCAGAATATTTTGTGAAATCACACCCCTGCACCTTTGAACATGTTTACCTGAAAAGTTTTATTGTGATTAACAGTGATTTCTTCAGTGTGTGTGTGTGTGTGTGTGTGTGTGTGTGTGTGTTGCTGTCAGAGCAGCAGGGTGGTGCCCCCTGCTGATCAGGAATCTTAGGAGGTGTCCCATTCAGGACTCCTCCTCCTGACTTCTGCCCTAACTCCTACTCCTCCTCCTTTCGTACATATTGATGATTGAGTCGTGCGTCGCCAGCAGTCACTGACGATCACAATGACGTCACTCCTTTTAACCAGAGTTCAGACTTTATCCTTGAAAAATTGTTAAATCAGCTGATCAGTAAAGATCAGTCTTCCTCAATCACTATATTTTATGATTGATTATCGTGATTAAGACTGACCTCTGAAAACTTCAGGAGGCTTTGTTAAAAACTCAACTCTACTAGTAATTGATATTTCAAGATAAAATCTGTCATGCCAAGAACTCGTAATTTTATTTCCAGTGATTCAGTGTGCGAGGAGCCGATCAGTTGATCGATTGATAGTTATTATGGTGGATGTGAGTGGTCAGGTAAGTGAGGGGCAGAGCTTGTGTATTTGTTTACATGTCATCAGCTGTCGTGGCCTTCGTGTTTCTGAGATGATGCAATAAAAGAAAAGAATCATGTTTTATTTTTAAAACTTTGTTTTCAGATTATTTTTTTTTTCCTCTGTTAAGAACTTTGGTTTAATAAAGTTTTTCTCACGTTTTGGTTTGGGTTTAAAAAAACATTTGTGTCATTCCAGGAGTTTTCTATGTTGGCGATATAAACATGTTAAAGTTATAGGTTTTTTTTAATTTGCCCCTGATGTTAGCACTCAACTATTGACTTAAATAGCTAAATGATGAGAAGTTGACCAATCAAAAATATTTACTATGTTCTAAGAAAATGTCTAAAGCCATCCCTGACAGTGATACTGTACCCAGAACTGTATGACCAGAATGGTCTTTCATATAAGGTCAAGGTTTGTGCCTTCAATTGTACATTTCAGACGATGAAATAATCTCTTCAATGTCATGTTGTGATGTCACTCAGTGAGTCCAGCAGCTGGAAGTAGTTGTATTTGATGTCGTATTCCATGTCATACCAGAAATTTACTGCAGAAAGAAAGTGCACAGCATTGTCATTGGTGAACTACATGACAGGGGTTGACAGTTGTTGGGGCCTGTTGTTACCTGCAATGCAGCCTTGCGTCTGCTGAACATGGTGAAACCACAGTGATGGCAGGTAAAGCATCTCACCAGCCTTCACGCTGCAGCAGAGTGGATGAGCTTGGCTGTACTGAGGAAACCGCTGCAGATCTGGATCCAAAGGGTCCAGTGGGATCCAGGGGACCTGAAGAAGAGGTGGGTGGAGTCAGAAAAGGGTGGAAAGGGGATATCATCATAATCAGACATTGCACGGACCTTTTCAGCACCAATCTGATCCACAACCTCAAACTCTCCATTGTCACGCTCGTGGTAGACAGCTGGCTGATATACACCTGCAAAATTCCACAGATATGGTCGCTATGATTAATGTAGGCAGGTACTGAGGAAACTGAAGAGTATTTTAGAGTTGGTTGCTGTGGTTACCATAGGGGATGAATGGGCGATCTGTGGGTGGCAACAGGAGAAAGGTTTTCTCTCCAGAAATCACACAGTAGAGATTCTCATAGTGATCTTTGTGCACTACCACAAACACGCAGACATAAATACATGCATGAGAAGTATACGTTTAATTTAAAACATGTAAAGAAAAGGTAAGATCTCACTGGAGGTGATGGCCTTTGATTCTCCAAGCCAGAAATTCACAGCATCAGGAAGCTTTCCTAAAAAAATAAAACTTAGTTGACTCAAAAGAAATCTTTCCATCTTTAAAAGTAAACAATCATTACCTCTTATCTGCTCTGTCACCTAGTTAAGATATGGTCAGTAATACAAACGTGTGTAGAATGAATGTTTGTTCTCACCAAGTGCATCACTCATCCAGGAAATGTGAGGCTCCACATCATCTTTGAGCTCTGGCAGTTCCTCCAACAGGTTAGAGCACTGCTTCTGAACGTAGAAAATGCCTGAATGTGGCACCTGTAGCAACAACAACAGCTTAAAACCAACTGATTTTACACAGCTGCATCAGTTTTTGGTTCATAGAGCAGTTTTCAAGTGTGACCAGCCATTGATAGCTGTGACCCGGTGTCTCACCTTCCCCTCAATGATGTCCAGAACAGTAGAAAAGGTCATGTGCCTCTCTTCGGGCATCACAAAGCGATCACCGTTGACAGCATCAGCATAACCATTAGGAGTGACTGCCACACTGATGACCTTGGACCCCACCTTCTCCCTACAGACAGGAACTATTTTTTAAAAAGCAGCCTACCTCGGATAATTGTGCGAACATGAGTGGATGGGGTCTTCTTACTTCAGGTATTCTGACTTCCATCTAGTCAGAGCTGGCCAATGGTTGAAGGCATTGCGGATGATGCAGGGTCTGTTGGGTCCAATCCAGTCGCGGTAGAACTGCAGCGGGTCAGGAGGTTCTTCGAGGATTGGAATTGAGTGGTTTAAATACAGATCTATAAAAAAAAATCAATTATTGATCCCAGCTGCTCCGAGTCAGTACAGTAAGTATGGTTAACAATGAGAGTATATTACTGACAAGTCATTAGTATATTTACAGTATTATTTAAAGTAATATTGTGCCTAAAAATACATCATTAGCTTTCCTGTCGCTTACCATGCGCCTCCAGGGAAAAGTCAGTCAGTCGCTGCTTTAAAGAATCCATTCTTTGAATAACGTTGAATAAAATTAGTATTTAAAATGATTTATAAACTATTCAATTCGCATCTATGTCGGTGTATCTGTCATATTTATTCTTTTCCCTGAAGCATGTGCTTCCATGTTGCTTTGTTTACACGCTTTGCGCATGCGCGTGACTTTGAGCTACAAATGAAAGCTTCGCCGGCTTCACCTGCTGGCAGGAGGGTAAACTGCAGATACACGTCATAATGAACAGCGAAAGGTAGAGAAATCCGTGTCAAATTAGTGCAGATTGGATGCAGCTGTGTGGGACTCAGCTCTTGGAATTAGTTCTTGGAATGTCTTGGATAATCTGGATCTTCAATCATGGATGAGTCCGCGTTGGAGCGTTATTTTGATGACTCCATAGCAAATGTAAGTAGACACTCTTGTTTGAATTTGCAGTTAAAGAAGGCATTGTTTACATTGATTGTTAGTCTGTCTGTCATAAACACATTTCCACATTGCTGTTGTTCTTGGTTTAAACAAATCCAAAACTTTTTATTCATATTATTCCATTTTGGTAATTTTTTATTATTTATTTTTAATTACACATACAACAAAAATATAACAAGACCTTGTTTTTAAATGTGTGTGTTTTTTAAACCACTATTCTATTAGTTCAAAGTGTTTGGTTTGCCCATCCTACAACACTGACTTCTTTGTAAAGGACTCTGGATTTATTCTGGGGGAGGAGCTAGGCCTCCAGAGTCCCACCCCTCAAGCAGAGAAACCTGTTGCAACTCAGCAGGGTGTCTCTTACCTGTCAGAGAAGGATGGAAGTGGCGAGTTGGGGGAGGAGTTGGACCTGAGTTTTTTACCTGATGAACTGGGCACACATAATGATACAGGTATGACATCACTGATGATGCATTGTTTTTAATTTAAGTACATGAGGAAAACATTTGTGATCTACAGCAGGAGAAGATCAGGCCTCAGCTCTGGAAATATCTCAAGACAGCGGCGTCTTCGACTTGAACTCCCAGAACTCAATGGCAGCTTACACACAGCAGGGGGCATCCACCTCAGGAATGGGGACCATGGCCTCTCCCTTTTGTCAAATGACCCCTATGACCCCTATGACTCCTATGACACCTGTGACAGAGAGGTCGGGGATCATCCCCCAGTTACAGTATGCTTCTGATGATTTTAGACATGCAGTGGAACAGTAGTGGTGTGTTCACATGTATTGATATGTTTAGTGACTGTCAACTCTCTGTAGAAATATTGTGTCCACCGTGAACCTGGGTTGTCCTCTGGACCTGAAGTTCATTGCCTTGCAGGCCAGAAATGCAGAGTACAACCCAAAGGTACATGAAGTGGACTTTTTGTCAGTGAGTGAAAAACGCTACCTCCTGTCATTGTGGTGTCATGTGTCAGCGATTTGCAGCTGTGATCATGAGAATCCGTGAACCTAGAACTACAGCACTAATCTTCAGCTCAGGAAAGATGGTGTGCACTGGTGCTAAGAGGTCAGTGCTGCAACAATCAGGAGTCAAGTCTGTCTTTGCTTCAGAGGCCTGTTCATTAACCTCATTTTGTATATGTTCTTGAGAGTGAGGAGCAGTCACGGCTGGCGGCCAGGAAATATGCCCGAGTAGTTCAGAAACTGGGCTTCCCTGCTCGATTTCTGGACTTTAAAATCCAGAACATGGTGGCCAGCTGTGATGTTTTCTTCCCGATCAGACTGGAAGGGTTGGTCCTGACCCACCAGCAGTTCACCAGGTATGAACACCAGTACATGACATTTGTAAGTCTAGATTAACGGGGGCAGTATTGTGGCTTCTGATGGCGTTAATTTGTTTGCAGTTATGAACCTGAGCTGTTTCCAGGACTAATCTACAGGATGGTGAAACCGCGTATTGTCCTACTCATCTTTGTGTCAGGAAAAGTGGTTTTGACCGGTAACCAACTCACACCTCTTCACCTGGTTGGTTGGTTGGTTTATTTACTGTTCTTCTTCTCACACTGGTGAACATGATACCTAAGAATGTTTATGTTGTCTCCTTGAACTTGTAATATATATTTAAATGTGGTTTAAATTTCAGGAGCTAAGGAACGAGCAGAGATTTATGAAGCCTTTGAGAACATTTATCCCATCCTGAGAGGCTTCAGGAAGCAATGAGGACCGCACTTCCTGTTTGTTCTATAGGCTTAAATGAAAGTGTATTATACATATTTGTGTTTTTTCTTTTGTCTAAATGTCTGGAACTCAGTCAGCAAAAAATGTCTATCACTGAGTTGAATATGGATGATCTTTGATTACAGTTACAATTGTGTTTAAATTATTTCTCTCAGTACAGCAATAAAAAAAATTTCCAAAATCTTAGTATTACTAAAACATTGAGCCATGGACTTTAAATGTTGCCCTAATAATCAATAATTAAATCACTCTGCTAAGCATGTAAACAGAAAGAAAGAAAAAATGACTGATAACTCTGTCACAATAGACCAAGAGGTCTTTCTGGCTGTGATCGGACACTTTAGAGTAATTCAGGTTAGTACAGATGACTTTATAACTGATAGGCTCAGAGGATGGCAGTGTTTGGAAGCAACCATTCCTCTTTGCAGCCAGATGCTCTTGTACCTAATACTGACCTCAGTTCCTTTGATGTCCTTAGATACATTAAAGGATTCTTGCTTTGCTTCCTCTCATTAAAAATTAATATAAATCATTTTTTCAAATTTAATCAAGGTTTTTCTACAGATTTTCAAGCAATAAATGTCAGACCCCTTGTTTAATCATATTCTGTTTAAATGTGTAATCTAAAATAAAACAAGTACATGATTTTAACGAACCCTCAAGGTTAAAAACCGACATTAGAAAATCTTCAGCTGTGAGCGTAACGCAATTCACCGGGCCCCGCCTATACAGATGACGTCAGAACATAAACAAACCCGTCACGTTTTTAGAGAAAACCGGAAGTAGCGGAAGTCGTCGTTGTGAAAACTACAGAGCAGCAAGAGAAGCAACAACAACAACACTTGCCGTGAATCCTCGCTTTTTCACCCAGTCTGACAGATATGTTAGTGACGTCGTAAGGGATTTGACGTAGAAGCGCGAACGGTCTTTTCCTGTTTACTTCTAACAGGTTTAAATGTAGCTCAGTGTATCTTAGCCGAGCTTACCTCCTCCATGGCAGCCTCAGCGGGGCTCAGGGTTCCCGTGTCCGGCAGCAGGCCTCCTATTCGGCCTCACTCCTCATCTTCGGGTTGTGTCATGCTGGAGTCCGTAGATGACGCCGAGGGGCTTTACGTGGCCGTGGAGCGGTGTCCGCTGTGCAGCACGTCCCGCCGCAGACTCACCTGCGCCCGTTGTATAAAGGCCGGAGACTTCGCCTACTACGACGGCAGGAGCACGGAGAGGTAAAGTTCACAGGCTGCACCAGGTTCTGTTTGGTCGGACAACACGAAAGGGTCTTCGTACATCTGCCGTTTCTGTCGAATCTGGAGAGTTTTAAACATGTGATAGTAGTATTTAATGTGCCAGGTAAAGTAATGTAATCGGAGGTTTAAATCACAGTCACATTTCAACATTAATTAAAGGTGGTCCATAACGTCATTTTCATTTCGCCAGTGTTCAGTGATTTTTTTTTTAGTGACTAAAAATACTAATACCTTAATTTAAAAAAAAAATAGTAAGATGCGTTTCCATAAGAAGGCTGTAAGTGTATCTAAATTAACTGTGAAAGCTGTTGTATGTTTCCCCAATATGTTGGGAACTAGGGTCAGGGATATGGAACTCTAATTTTAAACAACACTATGGCTGTCTTGTTTAGGAGTCACTGTAGTGGGTTACAACACCAGCTGATGTTCTTATGCATTAATGTGCTACATTCTCTCCAACTCAAAATATCCCAGCTAAAGTTGCATGATGACTGTTTATAATTTCAACAGCTCAGCTGGTTGGTATTTTTCTGTATACCTTACATACAAGTTAAAATAAAAGTCCCACTTAACTACTGTATGTTGTGACTACATGTAAACAACACTGTAAACAACACTGCAGATCATAAATTTGGACTCTGCCCATGTCTTGACTTAGCATCTGATTTTAACTTTCAGCCAACAAGTCTTGTTTTGAGTTTTTGTGTCTGATGACATACATTTCTGTGAGATGTTATGGATTGTAATATTTTTCTTTTGACATGTTCTGGCTGATAAAAGTTTAGTTTGGTGTAGCTGTGTTGTGACTTTTGTCTTAGTGTTAGCACTTTGCTTTTAGTTGGGTGGTGAATGGTGTTTTTGTACCCAGACCTCATTTTCACTCTGATAGCATTTAGCCTCACACAGCACTGTCATTCTGTGAGTGTTAGCGCAGCTAAGTTGGCAGCTTCAGTTGCACAACATGTGAAAACCCAAAATAACCTTGGCCTCATAGTTTTAGTGCCTGTGCCCAGTCTCAAGGAACAACTTAACTACATTGTTATGTCTGGACTTTGTGTCTGTGTCTGTGTGTGTGTGTGTGTGTGTGTGTGTGTGTGTGTGGCTCTAAAGGTACACAGAAAAGCTGGAACGACTGACGAGGCTGAAGGAGGAGAAGGAAGATCTGCAACAGAGGTGACTGAGTATTTCCCTTTCCGTTTCATTTTTAACATTACTGTTTTATGTTTCTGTTGATCTCATGTGCTTTTGGTTTCATCTGTCCTCAGTGTTGTCCAGGCCATGGACAGAAAGCTGCAGGCTGACCAGATGGTAAGTTTTATTGCTGGATGAAACTGGGATATATATATATATAATAATGTCAGAGTTTAAGGATGCAACTAATGATTATTTTTATAATGCATAATTTACATTATTGTCAATTGTGATACAACAATTAGCCATTTGCTCATAGAAGTGCAGAAGATTAAAAAAATCACTAAACCAAAATCGTATTTTTTTGTTATTTCAACTGCTGAATTCAGAGATAAGGTTTTCAGTTGATTGATGTTCCTCACTGTGACTTTTTTGATCATAATGTTTCAGAAGTGGAAGTTGATGTCCTGTCAGGTGAGAATCCAGCAGCTGAAGGAGGCAGTGGCCTGGGCCAATGAGGAGTTGAAGAATGGTGAGTTTTTCTGCATTTTTTGATTCAATTTGGTCACATGGGTTAATGTTATGGGTTAACCTTATGGGTTAAGGTACTTTATGGGATAAGGTTCATCTTCACCTTTTTATTTTCCTCTTTTGCAGATAAGGACCTTCTTCTGCGCTCTCAAGAGGAGAGCCAGAAGCTGCAACGCCGTGCTGGACGCCACCAGGAGAAGCGGGACAAGATTGAGCGACACAACCGTAAACTGGGGGAGCTGCTGGAGCGGCGGGGCAAAGAACTGCAGAGTCGACTGAGTCAGTTGGCTGATCTAAGACGTGAACACATCCAGGAGCTCAGCAGCCACATATTTTCTTTGAGAGAAGAGAAGCAGGGCAGCAGGTGACATGCAACCTAATTCAAATTGTGTTTAAGTTTTAAATTTGGATTTCAGCTGGAAGATAAGTGGGCAGAGGAAATAGGAGGAAACTGTTTTTTTCCCATTGATAACACTGCCTTCTTGTGTGTGACTCAGAGATCCTGCAGATATGGTGGCTGAATCTGACTCAGCACTGACCTCCAGCACGGTCAGTGAACTGGCTGAGGCTCGCAGAACCACCTACCTGTCAGGTCGCTGGATCTGGGACGACCAGAATGGTGAGACCAGCATCAGCATCACGGGAGCCCCTGTCTCGCTGCCCAGCAATGGTGACTGCTCTGCCTACTACACCTGGGTGGAGGAGAAGAGCACCAACCAGGGTCCAGGTATGTCTTTCTGTCCACTTTCTGAAGTGGCTGTTGTACCTGTAACATTTAAACTTTCATACACCTTTCACCTTTGTGGCTGCAGAACTGGACCACATTAATCCTGCTCATACCATCAGCGCTGCACTTTGCTACACCACACAGCTCACAAACATTCTTTCCCACATCCTGGACGTGAACCTGCCCAAGAAGCTGTGTAACAGGTACGACTTTCACTGTCCACAAACTGTCAGGACTTCGGTTTCCCTGTCCCTCTCTTTAATTGTGGAATTTTGTGAATTAAGGATAAAAGTTTCACTTTAGTTAGATTGCTCTCTTTCTTTTCTCTCAGTGAGTTCTGTGGCGAAAACCTGAGCAGATATCGTTTCACCAGAGCACTGAACAAACTCAACACCAATGTCCTTCATCTGTGCTTCTCACAGGTCAGAACCATTTCTTGTTCCTTTAAGTGTTGCAGGAATTTGTCATTTTTAATTTAGTTATTAAATCATAAACTGACACACAGCCCTTTCTTTTCACCAGGAATCTTATTCTACCATTCTTTAAACCAATGATTTTCTTTATTCTTTTTTTGGAGCACACTATAACAAAAGAAAAAAAAAATGTAAATATGATATGTTAAATCTGTGTTTTTGTTTAGCATGTTGACAGTGAGAATCTTCATCCTCATCACACTTTGAGAAATATCATGTTCCTAGTTTCCCCTGAAAACCACAATCTTGGCAGGTAAGAGTCTCATCTCATTTTCTCTGTGTACTGACTGGCTTTTCTTCAGTGGGATGTTCTGTGATTGGCTGTGTCATAGCAAACAGAAATAAAATAACATGTTTCTGATAACCACACACAATACATCTTTGGAGTGAAATGTATAACAGCTGCCCTGATGAGAAGTTCTGTCTTTTTTCTGTTCACAGAACTGGGCCATTTGAGGTCAGTGCTGACCTCGAGGAGTCTATGGAATTTGTGGAGCCAGAGGAGGCTGGGCCAGCGGAAGAAAGTGGGGATGAGGAAGTGACAGATGAGGAGACAGACCTGGGGACAGACTGGGAGACGGTGCCTAGTCCACGCTTCTGTGATATCCCATCTCAGGTAAATAGGAAACAAACAAAAATGTTACGTACCAATGACATCAGCGTTTTTCTGAATTTCACTTTATCTGTTTCCTCTTCCAGCCAAATGATCTCGCTCAGAGTTCTCTACAGGTGTCACAGCCATCTGCTGCATCTGGAGGGATGTTTACCTCAGCTGCTGCTTCAGTCACTTCCTGGTTCAGAGCGTACACTGGTCAGCGCTGAGGTCAGAGACCTGGTTGTGGTCTGACAATGGAGTAACATGAACTTTTTAAACCAGCACAAGTTTTTATTAAAACAGTGTTCCTATGAAAAGAGAAAATGATGTCAAAAACTGTTATGATGATTATGAGAGACAGACATCTTCTGAAAAAATGTAAAAAAAAAAGGTTTTTTTAGACAGATGTAAATAAAAACCATGCAAAGGTGTTTTGTTGTGGTTTTTTTTTAAAAAAAGATTGACATAACCAATTGCCTTAAAATTATTTATATTCATATTTGTTTCTGGCCATGTGTTTGTCAGACTTTGCTTTGTTTCAACATTTCCTCTATCCATCCACTTAGTGTTGCTCCAGGACACACCTTATGGAAAGTAGTTTTCTTTTCACTGAAGCACCTCAAGCTTAAAATACCATCTGAACTCCCAGCATGATTAATTTGTTAAATCCACAGCTACTTTGTTGTTAATGATATAAATTTATATATTTTTTTAGATTTTTAAATGTACTGTATTGGGTTGCAAATCGGCATAATAAGCAATACAGCAACTATCATTATTGCAATTGTATACAGTAATTTATTATTTACTAAGGTCAGTAAATTAATAAATCACCATCTTATATTAGTGTTGCACATATTGTTTTTATTTATTATACATTCATTGACGTTGTCGTACTGCAGGGGTGCCCAACAGGTAGATCGCAAAGCGAGTACTAGTAGGTCATGAGCAATTAAATTAAAAATAATTATATATTTGTATATATTTATATAGTCTATGTGCAGTAGTGACCATATAGTGTAAGAAACAATCTTATATTTATCTTGTATCAATAAAGTATGTTCAGTTCATATAAGGAAATATATATTTATCCTTTTCAATGTAGGTAGATAACTTTAACCTGGTCATTTCAACAGTAGCGCTCGAGCCAGAAAAGTGTGGACACCGCTGCTGTACTGTATATACAGGAACTTTGTTGAAACTGTAGGAACCTTTGTACGCCCTGGTTTCCTACCGGAAGTTTTATCTTGAGGCGCAATCCACATCCGATTGTTAGTCATGTCAGGGTCAAACGTTTTACACGCGAGTTGAGTTTTACATTTGTCAAGGTAAATGCATTCCGATCCTACGGTAATTTAACAGAGATACACGTAGATTGTCAGTCTATGTTATTGTTTCGTTTCACCCTAAACCGATTTTTTGTTGGGTTTGATCCTCCACGCGTTCTTTATTTCACCGGAAACAAATAGTACAATCAAATACGTGTAGTGTGTGCACTAGTACTAGATGAACTAAACTAACAATTCAAGTTCAGTTTAGTTTGAAGCAACGGTGCTGTAGAGACGTATTACTCGTGTTGTTCGGCTTTAAATTTCAACTAAATCGTTGTGGTATATCAAGTGTCTCACATGTGTTCTCTCTTCATAGTGAAAGATGGCGGCGCAGGCGAGCGAGTCTGACCAGATTAAACAAGTGAGTGAAACTAGCTGTGTTTCATTTCAGGGTCTGCTGCCACAGAGACAGGAGGGTGTCCAAATGTGTCACAATTCATCCTGTGGAGTCTGCAGACTGTAATTTGGAAATAATTTATAGATGAATCTGAGTAAACATGAATCATGTGGTAGTAACTCCTATGTTTCTAAAGGCTTGGTATTAATCGTTCGTCTCTTTTGTTTTTAGTTCAAGGAGTTTCTGGGAACCTACAACAAGGTGACAGAAAACTGCTTCATGGATTGTGTGAAAGATTTTACCACTAGAGAAGTGAAAGCAGATGAGGTAATAATTACATCAAGCATTTGATTGTAAAAGGCAGAATCCATGATGATACTGAGAAAAGGTTTCGCTTAATGAGCTGATGATGTCATATGATGTCACAACTTCTCTTGGCTGTCTGACTGATTTGCTTTAACATCATACATTTATCTAGCTGCAACTTGACCAATCATAATTATTCATCCTCATTGTTGATTATGGTCTTTGTTTGTTTCAGTCGAATTGTTCAGAGTTCTGCCTACAAAAGTACCTGAAGATGACTCAGCGGATCTCCATGCGTTTTCAAGAGTATCACATTCAGCAGAACGAGGCTTTAGCCGCTAAAGCAGGGCTGCTGGGACAGCCACGCTGAAATGAACTCACACATCACATGACCACAGGAGGTGGTCTTCTGTGCATTATTGGAAATATTATGTTAAGACTGTGAAGTTGTCTTTAAATGTGTTTATGCTGAAACTTATGTTGTATTGACTTACCTGCCATGTTTTTTTTTAAATAAATGTCAAATGTTAAAGTAAGCCTTGTGTCTTAGGTTAAAACAAGAATGTGTGTGTGTGGGGCATGAAGATGTAACTTTATTAACAACTATGTTTTTAAATCACAACTGCTCACTATGACTGTAATTAAAGATAAATAAAACATGAACTGGAGAATCAGTTATATTTGTTTCTCATTTCCCTTTAAATTGTACGTTTTTGTTATTAATACATTCTAAAAATGTTGAATGTGACCAACTTCATAAAGGTATTTGACATTGTCACAATGTTATTTTTCAAGAGTCTGGTCTTTAAGACAAAACAATTTAGCAAACAAAAGACTTTAGTGAATTAGTTACTATGGACAATTTGACTATTAAAAATCTGTAAAACAAAAAGTTTAAGTTTTAAATTTCTACTTGTTTCCATTATCCGTTAAATTGTGTTTATTTAATCTAAAAAGAACGTTTTCACTGGAAGACCAGCGATATAGCTGTCATCACTAAAGACGTTCAGGAAAAAAACACAACCAAAGTTTGTAACATCTCAGTTTTCTCCGTACTTTCCTAATATTTAACGGGAAAATATCCGACCCTGCACGTAGCGCTAGTGATTTGTTGTAACCGGAAATAAAACCGAAGAGAAGAAGAAGACTCTTGTTTATTTCCTGTCTGGATTGATGACGTTCCACTGATACTCTCAACTACAGTTTAATTCAGGGCACAAGATTTAAAAGGTAAAAAGTGCTTTTGTTTAACCTTAAAACTACCGTCTTATACACATTGAATGAGCTAAGGTTTCCGTTTATGATAAACACCATTATCGCTGACAAACACGGGTTTCCACATGGGTTTACTTCGCTAATACTGGTAGCAGCTTGTACACGATAAACTAAGCTAACTTAGCTAAGTGCTAAGGCCGACAGCTGACAACGGACAATACCCAAAATTAGGCTAATGATAGATTGCAGCTTATGTCTGTAAGCACTGTAGTTATGAGACGATGTCAATTAGTGTCTGGGCGACAATAAAGCAGTATGTAATTTTCGTAAAAGACGAGCTAATCAAGAGCATAACCTTTCAAATCACGGTATCTGGTACTGTCCATCGGGTTGAAAGAGACAAGTGCTGATGAAGTCACATATTGAAGCTTAAAGATAGAAGAAACAGTTCTATATGAATCTTGTGTACGGTGTTAACATGTTCAAAAAACAGACACCGGTTCCATTAATTATCAGATATGACATTGATCATGGCTACGCATAGAATAAACTGATAAGGAAACTGATTTTCCTTATCAGTTTATAAGGAGAGTAATAATTTACTTAGGATGTAAGTAAGCTTTTACTTCTTGGTTGTGGTTTGTTTTTGCGACTACTATGTTTGAGAACTCGATGTTTTACATGTCAGTTTTCCAAAGTTGAAACGTGAACTTGAAACAATTCTTCACTTCGTTGTCATGTTAACAGAAGGTGAGAGGCAGCTTTCTGTCACCAGACCTGCTGACTTACTAAGACGCTGAGTTGGGGGGATTCCCTCCACCACATTCTGCTGCAATATATAGTAAGTTTGTCTTCTCCTTAATCAACTCTTACACTGATGTGAAAATCTCAATTTGAGCAGTTCTTTAAACATTTCTATATGTAAAATTTTTTCCAGAATCTTTTTACTCGTCATCATGGTGCTTGCTGACTTAGGAAGGAAGATCACCTCTGCGCTGAGGTCACTCAGCAATGCCACTATCATCAATGAAGAGGTCAGTGTTAAAGTGTCTCTGATCCTGGAAACTGTATTTATGTTCCAAGATCTTGTTTTACTGTTGTTGATACTTTGTGATACATTTTGTTTGTGATAGTTTAAAGCACATCACGGATGATGGGCTTTGTTAGTTGCTGAACTTAGACTGAGGAAGTTGATGGAGAATTATCTTGGTGTCTGTCCTTTCTGATGATGATCTTTCTCTCTCAGGTGTTGAATGCAATGCTGAAGGAGGTGTGTGCAGCCCTTCTTGAAGCTGATGTGAACATCAAACTGGTCAAACAGTTGAGAGAGAATGTGAAGTGAGTCCGGATCAGATTTTTTTTTTTTACATCTGCTTTTAGTAGCAGTCAACAATAGGGCTTTGTTTTATATTGAAGGTCTGCCATAGATCTGGAGGAGATGGCCTCGGGCTTGAACAAGAGGAGAATGATTCAGCATGCTGTCTTCAAGGAGCTCGTCAAGGTTTGTCTATATATAATTTGGACTTGTTATTGTTTGTATGTCATATCAACCATGCCTGTTTGAGTCTTTAATATATGTACTTGTCCTTTGTGTGTGGGTGCGTTCAGCTGGTGGACCCTGGTGTGAAGGCATGGACTCCAACCAAAGGCAAAAACAATGTCATCATGTTTGTAGGTCTTCAAGGCAGTGGAAAAACCACCACCTGTTCTAAGGTGATGTAGAACAAGCCAAATTTTCTATGCTATGCATATAGAGGCAGGGTGCCCCTTGTCCTGGGTCTGTACTCACTCTGCTGTGTTTGTTGCAGTTGGCTTACTATTACCAGAGGAAAGGCTGGAAGACCAGTCTGATTTGCGCTGACACCTTTAGAGCAGGTGCCTTCGATCAGCTCAAACAGAACGCTACCAAAGCCAGAATACCTTTTTATGGCAGGTGAGGTCCCATAGAGCTCATGTTGCTTCATCTAACATTTAGGCTCTTATTTCTGACCATGTGTATTTTGTATTACCCAGTTACACGGAGATGGATCCTGTGGTAATTGCTGCAGAGGGTGTAGAAAAATTCAAAACAGAAAACTTTGAGATCATCATCGTGGACACAAGTGGACGGCACAAACAGGAGGACTCTTTGTTTGAGGAAATGTTACAAGTATCCAATGCTGTGGTGAGTCCCCAAATGTATCATTCTGTCTATGAAAAGCACACTGGACATTAAGAAAAATTTTTCTTGTTATGTTTTATATTATATGTGCATTAGAATTAATGTAGGTAGAATTGGCCAAATGCACTGCTTATCAAAGTTGTCAATCTGAACTCTATACTAGAGCTCAATTAGTGATATTGTTTAAAACAGAAGTTTGAGTTTACCTGACACATTTGTGAAATTATAACCTTTGGCTCAAAGTGTCTGGGCTTTGACAAGACCCTGAATCTAATCTCCAGCAGGTTTATTTATCAACTGCTGAGTTGAAAAACCTCTCTGTTTCAATTCTTAAGCATTTGTTCTAATTCTTTTGGCAGATTTAGAAATATTTCTTTTTCTTGTTGTTGTAGCAACCAGACAACATTGTGTATGTGATGGACGCATCAATTGGTCAGGCCTGCGAGTCTCAGGCTAAAGCCTTCAAAGACAAGGTGGACATTGCATCAGTCATCGTTACCAAACTTGACGGACATGCCAAAGGAGGAGGTGCTTTGAGCGCGTAAGACTGTGATTCTCTGTTGCTTATTATCATGATTTGTTTGTATATATATTTTACCCTGTCAGTGTGAGGATTTTACAACATTTAAATACCTGTTTCCTATCAGTGTGGCAGCAACCAGGAGTCCCATTATCTTTATCGGAACAGGCGAACACATTGACGACTTCGAGCCATTTAAGACACAACCTTTTATTAGCAAACTGCTAGGTAAATACAGCGACACATTTTGGCACCAGTTGCTATGAACAGAACAATATATATTTAATACATTTTCCTGTCAGGTATGGGAGATATTGAAGGACTGATCGACAGAGTCAACGAGCTGAAACTGGATGATAATGAGGAGCTGATTGACAAACTTAAGCATGGTGAGAGAGAGCTCACAGGGTTTGTAAATCCTGCAGAGCATTTTGGATGGAAAGATAAATGACCTATAATCTGTGCCCTGCAGGTCAATTCACACTCAGGGACATGTATGAGCAGTTTCAGAACATTATGAAGATGGGACCTTTTGGACAGATTATGGTAAGTGTCTATGTCATGTGACCCAGATATCCTAGCATGCAACAGAATGTCTTTGACCTTCAACAGACATTGAGAAATTGAATCTATAATTCTCTGGGGGTCTCAGGGAATGATTCCAGGGTTTGGAACAGATTTTATGAGTAAAGGAAACGAACAGGAGTCGATGTCAAGGCTGAAAAAACTGATGACCATCATGGACAGTATGAATGACCAAGGTAACGTGCATAAATATTACACCATAAAATATTGGGATTCATATTTTTTAGTCCTTACCATATTTTAATATTGTTTGCTTGTAGAACTGGACAGTAAAGATGGAGCAAAGCTTTTTAGTAAACAGCCAAACAGGATCCAGAGGGTCGCCCGGGGGTCAGGAGTCGCTACCCGTGACGTTCAGGAGCTGCTGACACAATACACCAAGTTTGCTCAGATGGTGAAGAAGATGGGTGGAATCAAAGGCCTGTTCAAGGGTAAGTTGACAGGATTCAGGACACTGACTTTGACAAACTCTTTAAACAGTACATCATGCAATTACAATATACAAACACTTTAATAAAGGTGTAGTTCCAACAGGGGGCAGCATTCATAGAAACTTTGCTTTTTAGGGGGAGACATGTCAAAGAACGTGAACCCCTCACAGATGGCAAAACTGAACCAGCAGATGGCAAAGATGATGGACCCACGAGTTCTGCACCACATGGGTAAGAAACAAACACATTGGTTCAATATGCACGTAAAGGAATCAACGACCCAGTAATTTACTTCAAATGTATATGTCTAAAATATTTCCAGGTGGGATGGCGGGTCTGCAGTCAATGATGCGTCAGTTTCAACAAGGTGCGGCTGGGAACATGAAAGGCATGTTGGGATTCAACAACATGTGACCTCCTACTCTAACCAGCTGCCTTATTTAAACATGTGGTAGCTCTGCCTCCTGTCAGAAGGAGAGGAGTAGGCAGAGCTGGAGATGTGACCTCCGACTGTAGAACAGCGTTTCCTGAACACGTAAACAATGACAAAGCATGAGACAGATGAGGTCATAAAGATGACAAAGCAAATGTTGTATCTGAGGTTCGTTTTTGATTATTGTAAAGCTGCTGAGGATTATACTTTCAATCAGTTAACATATATATTTGGTAAATTAGTTTTATGGTCAAAGTCAATTTTTTTTTCTTAAAACTGCAGACACATTTTTTTTCTCTTTAATTTTACCTGATTCCAGTCCAAAAAATTAAGTGTGAGGTTACACAGCAGAAAGTAACAGGTTGTGAAATTTAAACATTCAAACTGCTCCAGGAGGATCTAATTTTGTCAGTCTAAATAAATCCTTAAAAGTGACGGTAAAGCTCCTGAACCAAACTAGGACTTGGCAGAAAAAACAAAAAAAAAAAATCATCACAAAATCTTAACTCTATATTAAATATTTCTTCTGTCAAATTTACTTGTCATTAATCAAAATGTTCCCATTTTCCCCACTTGTTTCATCTGGTTTTGTTACAGTTATTTAATTTAAAAAATCTAATGCTACAAGTTGAAAATATAACTTTTAGAGAGAAGATGTCGCCTGATTGAATGAGCTGAGGGTGAAGCACACGTGTAAGTGACAGTGTTTTCATCAAAAAAAATAAACATTTTTAACATTTTAAACCTGCTTCTTATTTCATGATTGTTTTGTAAAATTGCATAAAATAGTGAAAAGACATTCTGGAAAAAAACAAAACACAATTATTGAGAGGGGAGGGCTAGGAGTGACTGAGATTTTGATGTTCTGTTAGACAGATACTCCGTTAGAATGACACTTTTAACAACAGACAGGTGAAGACACGTTTGTCTGAAGTAAAAACTTTCTGCAATTTCATTTCTCACCCCTTGAGTGAGGCGCTAACAAAGATTATATATTGTCAAGATGTTTCACTCCGCCGTAACATTCCGCCCTGTCATGTTAATGTGTAAGTATTTCGTCAGTCATCTTGGTCAGAGCTTTTTTTCAAATATAAATCCCAAGTGTCCTCTTAAAAGACTCTTTCAATGTGATTCGATTATAAAAGACTGAACGTTGACTGTTGAATGACTGTTGTACCTTTTTAATTCGCGATTACTCAGGAATCATTTCACTCGAATCTCGTTGACAGAATGTACCAGAGTGAGCCCTCAATACTTTTCCGCTCTCTGTGTCCTGACGTGGCGCCGGGGCGCCGCCATGTTGTTTTGCTTCGTTGTCAGAGTAGAGAGGCAACAGCAGTAGGAGCAGCGGTGGTAAGTTTCATACATACACACTGACACTCATTCACACACCTGATCGACTCCAAGTCTCACCTGGGCTTTGGACCCTGATTGACCTGTCACTGGTGTTGTTGTCATAACACTAACCGCGAGGTGCGACACATTGTACGTATGTTAAGGCTCGTAGCTGGGATGCTAACAAAACTCTGGGCAGAAAATCACAGATGTAGTTACTCCTTGCATCAGAACTTCCAAAATGAACAGATAAACTATACTACCTGTGCGTTTATACACCATCCTGCAGACGTCTCAAACTAAGGCTTTATCAGTGTGATGTGATGGATATTCACTTATGATTTATAACCTAGAGAAGCATGTTAAGGTTCCGTTACAAGTGAGTTATTTTTCCGAATTAAATATAAAAAAGAAAGAGGGCTCGGATTGAAAGACATTTCTGACAAAAAATACACGTTGCAGTAACATGTACGAAATGCAAATAAACAATAGATACATATGAGAATATAAAAGTACGTAAAGATAGAATTGTTGAGAGATGAAAGTACCTAATAAATATAAAAGCAAACGGAAAGTATAAAAGAACACAAAATGCGTGCTGTGTGGAGGACAACACACACATTTTTGAGAACGCACAGTTAATCTACACTTTACTGGCTTCACGTGAGTTGGAAGCTGGTCACAGTTACAATAGTGAGATCATTCGTTCACATTTGTTCACATTACAGCTTGATGAATGGCAATTACCTCCAAAATTAAGATCATTCGTTCACATTTGTTCACATTTGTTCACAAAATTATTTTTTCAGAACATTTTAGGGGTACCAATGAACTAGCAATATTCTTCACATCTGACTGTGAGATGTGCAAATTTTAAGACTTATTTAGAGGAAAAAACATGAAAAAAGCTGTAAAAACAATGAGCAATCATGTTGTGCATTTAGTGACTGTGACTGTCTAGAAACAGTTGTGGAGCTGTTGCACAATGTCAAAGGCAAAAGTTAATCAGTTTTGGTACGAATTCAGGACTAAAAAAGGTAAAAGGTGCATCTCACTGATGTTCATTATTATGTTTCTTTAATTTTATGTTGGGCCCTGTATATGACATGCATCATTTACTTTCTTGTTAATTTGTTACGTTATTGTGAAAGAGAGAGTAATATTGTAATTGTTTGACTGCAGCTTTTTACTAACGGCCCTGCATTGCCATGGCAACCTTTGCGGACTACATCACTCAGAATGAGGACCGGGACGGTGTGCGTTTCAGCTGGAACGTTTGGCCCTCCAGCCGCCTGGAGGCCACCAGGATGGTGGTTCCAGTGGCAGCGTTGTTCACACCTCTGAAGGAGAGACCAGACCTACCACCGATCCAGTATGAACCAGTTCTTTGTAGCCGGGCCACCTGTCGGGCAGTGCTCAACCCACTCTGGTATTACACACACCCTAATGTTCACCTAATCACTATTCTAATTCTGGTTAGTGTATTAAAATGTAGTGCTTTAATATGAACATGTCTTTCTTTTACCTCTCTGACCCTCAGTCAGGTGGACTACAGAGCCAAACTGTGGGCATGTAACTTCTGTTACCAAAGAAATCAGGTAAACACACATGTTCTATTCTATACATGTGAGGACTGGTCTAAACTAAGCTAATCTTTATTGTGTGTGTTCACCTATGCATGTTTGTTTCTGTGACAGTTTCCTCCATCTTATGCTGGAATCTCTGAGGTGAATCAACCTGCTGAGCTGTTGCCACAGTTCTCCACCATTGAGTATGTGGTCCAGGTAAGACACATCTCCTCAAACATTCTCTCAGAAACTAAACGTCCCCAGATATCTCATCCAAAGATCTTGGCTCCGTCTTTATTGTCCTACTCTGCTCTGTGTCTTCAGCGAGGCCCTCAGATGCCGCTGATCTTCCTGTATGTGGTGGATACATGTATGGAGGACGAGGACCTGCAGGCGTTAAAGGAATCTCTTCAGATGTCCCTTTCTTTGCTTCCTCCCACGGCCCTTGTGGGTCTCATTACATTTGGACGGATGGTTCAGGTTCACGAACTCGGATGTGAGGGAATCTCCAAGAGCTATGTGTTCAGAGGAACCAAAGACCTTAACGCCAAGCAGCTGCAGGTCAGTCAGCTCAATCACATTTCCACTGTTGCTCAGTCAGCCAATCACTGAACTACAATAGTTTTAGACCAGTAATTAACTTAAACATGCTTACAGATAGTGATGCTAAACAATTCTCATTGACTTCCAGGAGATGCTTGGTCTGGCCAAACCTGCAGCCAATCAGGCACGAGGACCTCAGACTCCTCAGCAGCCTCTGTCCAATAGGTACACAAACAGATTTGGCATTATGTGTTCTTTATTCTTCGTGTTTTTTATTGTTACTGTTTTTGTTGCTTAGGTTTCTGCAGCCAGTGCAGAAGATAGACATGAACCTGACTGACCTGTTGGGGGAGCTGCAGCGTGACCCGTGGCCTGTAACTCAGGGGAAGAGGCCTCTACGCTCCCTGGGCGTGGCTTTATCCATTGCTGTTGGCCTTTTGGAGGTATGTGTGGTTGCATGCACGTGTGTGTGCATGTGTGCGTGTTGAGAATTGCTCAGAACGATGACGTAATTATTTCCTTCTTACTTCTTTTTTATATGAACAGTGCACCTTTCCAAACACCGGTGCTCGCATCATGAGTTTCATTGGGGGTCCAGCCACACAGGGTCCAGGGATGGTTGTGGGAGATGAACTGAAGACGCCCATTCGGTCGTGGCACGACATCGAGAAGGACAACGCCAAATTCATGAAGAAAGCCACCAAGGTGTGAAAGATGACATCACTTCCTTCTTGCTTGCTTCCTGCTTGATGGAAAACTTAATACTGCTACAGTTCTGCACAAAATTTACTCTGTGTGTGTGTTGTAGCATTACGAGGCTCTTGCTAACAGAGCGTCCACTAATGGTCACATCATCGACTTGTACGCTTGTGCACTGGACCAGACGGGTCTGCTGGAGATGAAGTGCTGCGCCAACTATACAGGGTACACACACAAACATACTCACATACGAACACACAGTTTGTATTCCTGTTATCACGGCATTAATACATCGTTATATTAAAATACTTTTTAAGTCACATCCTTCTTGTGTTTTTCAGAAAATTTAACTTTTGTCAAATTCAATATCAATCAAATTATGATAAACCATTGACCAAATATAAGCAATTGGCTTTTGGCTTACAGTCTTGTATATTTGGTGTCCTTAGGTGACAGAAAGGTGGCTATGAAATAAAATTTATTATTATTATTATATTTTGGAATAGACCACAGCTGACCTGATTGGACATGAGGCTGCCCTCAGTCCCATCCTATAAAAACATGTCATTGTGTCAATCACTATCTGTCGTTTCCACTTATGTTTTCCAATTATTTCCACCAGACCGTTTTCTAATTAATTAAGTGTTGTATGTACTCATTAGTGAATAATTGAAGTAGGATGTAGCCTAATTTTCTCATTGGCTTCTTTTTTAAAACAATAGTTTGCAACTTTTCTACAGTCGATGATCAATATTTGTGCCACTGTTGTAGGTTTATGTAGTTGTTGGTGTGTATGTTACAGAGGCTACATGGTGATGGCTGACTCCTTCAACACATCACTTTTCAAACAAACCTTCCAGCGTGTTTTCACCAAGGATGTCCAGGGATCCTTTAAAATGGCATTTGGTGCTACCCTGGAGGTCAAGGTACGACCACGGTTGACTTTACATCGACCTCACCCCTGCCCCTCCTCAGCTGGGTGTGATTGAATACCAAGCCTCATGTTTTTTCAGATGTCCAGAGAAGTTAAGCTGTCAGGAGCCATTGGACCGTGTGTTTCTCTCCATGCTAAGGGAACTTGTGTCTCTGAAAATGTAGGTAACTTCACACACATACACATGATCATTAATAGTCACGCCAACATCAGTTTACATGTGTTAAGTAGGCATGTGTTTTATTTGTCCACAGGAAATTGGTACTGGAGGAACATGTCAATGGAAGATCTGTGGTCTGGATGCAAACACCACACTGGCCCTTTACTTTGAGGTCGTCAACCAGGTAAAAATCCCCGACCGTAGACCTCGTTTGATGTCCTGACCCTCAGATCATCTGGGTTAGGTTTACTGTAGCAGTTAGTGAAGAGCTGGATGCTGCTGTGATGTCACAAACGGCTCACTTGTGTTTGGGGGCCATTGTTCATGAAGCTGTTGGTGTTTGAGTCTTAGGAGTTGATGAAGGTCGTGTTGTTGTTGTAATGCTGTGATTAGTTGGGTTTAGGTGGAAGACGGAGCTCTGTGGTTGGGTTTCAGTATGCACATTTGAGCAGAAACATTTTTTGAAAAACGTGGCCACAGTATGACACACTGCTGCCCTGTACCTTATGTAGACAGACAGACAGACAGACAGACAGTCAGACAGTCAGACAGACAGGCCATGGTTCAGTTTGATGATTGAAGCAGGTTTTGTTAAAAATATTTGCACAGAGACTCACGTCTGTGTCAGGCAGGTGATCCAAGGGTTTAGGGCAGAGCCAGTCAGCACCAACCAGACTGAGAAAGCTGAGAATGCAGACAGACTGTGTTGACCAGTGAAAGTCTCATACAAACACATGGAGACAAAGGGAATCCAGCAGACCAGTAGACACACTGACGATCCACACAAGTTTAGGGAAAAACAAACAAAAATTAGTACATACTAATGCAAACTTCCACTAATCTACAAAATATATAAATATGCACATAAAATGCACACATACATCAATACTAAGAATAGACTGAATAATGTTATAGGTGTCCTGTCCTAAGCCTGCATGACTGACGTGACTAACCAGAAGTCAGAATGAACTCACATGACGTGACCACCATCACAACAGAGCTCCTTAGGTACATGTTGGCAGGAACATAGAAACAATGCAGCTCGTTGCACACAAACGTCCCCCTGCGCGCCTGCTTCCTGGCCACATACACTACGTATCCATACAGAGAACACGTGGTGAGAATCGGAACCATGATTCCAAGCAACAGCCACAGCAAAAGGTAGTTTCTGTTTTCTGGAGTGAAGCTTGGGCAGCACAGAAAACGGGCCTGGTCATAGGTGTAGCTCCCCCAGCCCACAAGGGGCAGTGTTGCGATCAGTAGGCAGAAGAACCAGAGAGACAACAGCACTGCCCTACTGCGGCCTGTTGTCCAGATGCGGGGGTAGCTGAGGGCAAAGCAGATCTGAGTGAACCTGTTGATGCTAGCCCAGGTCAGAGAGTGTACGGAGGAAGTAAGTAGAAGCAAAAACAGGAATCCACTGCCTTGACAGAAGACGCCATCACTGGTATAGCCAGTTGGCTCAGACAGGATGGTGTAGGCACCGATCGGGAGGGCAGAGAGTCCCAGGGCTAGGTCGCTGAGGCTGAAGCTAACTACAAAACCTAGTGTGTCGCTGCGTAGATCCTTGTTAAGGAAGAGAACCAGCAGGAGGAGCATGTTCCCGCAGATGGATGATGCACTGGATAGAGACATCAGAGCTGCATACAGTATTCTCAGAGCATGCTCTGAAGCCATCTTTACAGATATTGAACTATTGAATGGAATGCAGTTCCTCAAATAACCGCCAGGTGGTGCCCTTAAACATACACACACAGAGCGTCATAAAACTAAATAGGTAGTAGGTCTTGTGGTCTCCAGTCTGTTTTAAATGCTGATTTTTTTTAAAATTTGCAATACTCCCCAATGAAAAGAAAACTATTACAAAGATGTGAAAAAAACTAACAAAAATATTAATCACACGGATGGATCTAGGCAAAGCATTGACATCAGTCACCTAACCAGTGGTTGCTGTCAGGTCTTGGAAGACTTTGATTTTTCTCCATGAAAATCCTTCCAATTATAATCTTGTAGTTGGAGGCAGTCATGTCTTCAATATTTGATGAGTCACAGTGTTGTCAGCGAGGTTCCATTGCCACTGCAGAACAGTGACTGAGAACGTTCTCCACTTCAAGGAAAAAGAAAACCTCAGTTTTCCATCCAGTTCAGTTTAATTGGGTTTTGTTGAGTTTATCCACTGTCTGGTTTAGTTTAATCCATTGCTTTGAGAACAGGTTCCTTTTTGAAGATGAACATATAAGAGTCAATCGATGCTCCTGAAGGTCGAAAGTGAGTTCAGGTGGTCAATCATCGATCCTGAATCCTGAATCCTGAAAGCAGTTGTTGAAATCTGAGGCTGATCTTCTCTAAAAATCTGAGAGGGAGAGAGTATATATGTCTGAGTGGATGTGTGTGTGTATGGGTAGGTGTGTTTTCTTACTATCATCATCACAGCAGGTGACTGACAGGTGTACCAAGGCAACTCTGTCACGAGGACACAAACACTAAGACACAGGGTATTGGTTGTATAGTTGTGTTGACGTGTGTGTGTGTGTGTGTGTGTGTGTGTGTGTGTGTGTGACTCCAGTAATAACAGGTGTTCAGGTGTGTAATCATTATCACCATCATTATCAGACCACTGAGAGCTGTGGTGTTGAGCAGCCAACCACAGAGACCAGCTGTGACCACTGTATGGTGACACCTCTGTCTTACTGAGGTGATTGTTAAGTATTTCAGTGTCAAGTATAAATATAAGCTACTGTGCCATAGCTAACCAAAACAAACAAAAAAGAGTATGTTATCCAGTGTTTCCTCTTCCCTCAAGTCGGGGTGCCCTCCTCACCCCAAAGTCCGATGAATTTAATTTAGATCACTGAATCGCAACAGAACTCATTTCAGGTCACTTTCCTATAGAACACATCTGGACTATGTTCTTTTAATAAGGAATAATGTTACTGATTTAATTTAAGATATTTCATTTAATTTCCTGCCCTCTGTTTTACACAAACAAACACATGGACACACACTCCGGCTTCTAGAGAACTTGGAACTTTTACTGGTGGGTGAAACTACTCGGTGGTCGTTAGAAGAAAATCGCATGTTACAAAGTGCCACAAGCTTTTTGGAACAATGTGTTTGGAAACCTGGTTGTTTGGACCATGATCAGAGATCCTAACTCCTGAGTGATTCTGCTGTGAACTTTTACTGGTGGATGAAACTAATCCTTGCTCTTCAGAAAACTGCCCTGTACAAGGTTTAATGAAGAAGAAACAATCTTCTTGGAAGATCTTCTGGTCAGAGTATTGTAGTCTGAGTATCTGATGTATTTATAATACAGAGACTGGGATTTGACTCTGACCTCCATCATTAACACTTGTTATACACCTGGTGTTATATTGCAGTCCAGAAACTGGCATTTTATGGTGTTTATGTGAGTCCTAGTATATAGTATGTTGATTTTGGTGAATATTTGATATTGACATTTTTTGCACAAACTACATCTGGGTTACACATTCAAAGAGTTTTCTAAAGTGTGGTTTTTAAATATGACTCCTTTTTGTCAACTGTCAACGTGTTTGGCCACTCCACTCACCCCTGGTCCCCAAAGCCGTAAAGCCCAGGGGAAACACTGTTATCATTTGGGCTTTTTGTGATACGTTTTTGTGTTTCACTTTGTCTGAAGCCCCCAGTGTTTCATGTACTGAACTCTCCTCAGTGAATGTTTTTTATGATGATAATTGATCAGCTTTGTTTGTCTTGCAGCACAATGCTCCAATCCCTCAGGGGGGCCGAGGAGCAATCCAGTTCGTGACTCAGTACCAGCATTCATCAGGACAGAGGCGGATCAGAGTGACCACTACAGCCAGGAAGTAAGGGACCACGCCCCCTCCTGTGATGTGTTCCCTAAACCTGAGGCTGTGCTCTGGTTTCTCATAGTTTTTCTTGTTGTCCTGGCTCTAGCTGGGCTGACGCTCAGACTCAGATCCAGAACATTTCAGCATCCTTTGACCAGGAGGCGGCAGCCATCTTGATGGCAAGACTGGCAGTTTATCGTGCAGAGACAGAGGAGGGGCCAGACGTCTTAAGGTGGTTGGACCGACAGCTGATCAGACTGGTACAATGTCGAGCATCTCACCTTCTCAGGTTTTATTTGTGTGTATGTGTTGGATGTTGTATGTGGTTTGTTTGTTTCAGTGTCAGAAGTTTGGAGACTACCACAAAGATGACCCAAACTCATTCAGGTTCTCAGAGACCTTCTCCCTCTACCCTCAGGTGAATAATGTCTCTGCTGTCACACCCAAATCCTCCACTTCCTGTTTGTGACCATTTGTGTGTCTGTGTGTTTCAGTTTATGTTCCACCTGCGGCGCTCACCTTTCCTGCAGGTGTTCAACAATAGTCCTGATGAAAGTTCCTACTACAGACATCAGTTCAACCGTCAGGACCTGACGCAGGCGCTCATCATGGTGCAGCCACTGCTGTACGCCTACTCTTTCAACGGCCCACCAGAGGTAAACATGTGGGGGGCGGAGTCAGCGGGGATTCTGAAGGGCGCTTATGATCTGCAATATGTCTGGAGCGGGGAGTCATTGTCTCTTCTTGTTTTTCAGCCTGTGCTGTTGGACAGCAGTAGCATTCTTCCAGACAGGATTTTACTGATGGACACATTTTTCCAGATCCTTATTTACCATGGAGAGGTCCTTACACACATACACAGACACACACGCACACACACACAGACTGATACACATTTCTGTGTTTAGACTGATGTATTTGTATTGTATTGTTTTGATGACATGGTTGTGTGTTTGCAGACGGTGTCTCAGTGGAGAAAGGCAGGTTACCAAGACCTGCCTGAGTATGAAAACTTCAAACAGCTGTTGCAGGCTCCAGTGGACGATGCTCAGGAGCTGCTCCACACACGCTTCCCCATGCCCAGATACATTGACACCGAACACGGAGGCAGCCAGGTGGGGGTGTCAAGGGAAACTCCAACATCTTACCATTTTGCTTTTTACTGTCTTTATGCACAAACAGCACCTTCATACACAGCATTATATACCTTGAATCCTAACACTGCACTTTTACACACTCTCTGCACCATTACAGATAAAGTACTGCATATAAGCTTTTCTGATCTGCATCTGTATTCATTTCATCTTCAAAGCCATACACACTACAACAGTATGTACAACACTAGTATATAGTGTTTACCTCTGGTCACGTTTCCTTTTTGACAGGCTCGTTTCCTGCTGTCCAAAGTGAACCCATCTCAAACCCACAACAACATGTTCTCCTGGGGTCAGGTGAGCATCTCACTGTACACATTCCCTATGACCTCTGACCTTAGATTGACCCAGTGTGTGTTTCTTGGTAGGATTCTGGAGCACCCATTCTCACTGATGATGTGAGTCTGCAAGTGTTCATGGATCACCTGAAAAAACTGGCTGTGTCCAGTGCTGCCTAATAGCATTCGCAACAGCTGCTGACTTTTGGTGACCTCTGACATGGCTACTTTCTGTTTACTCTTTGCATTTGCTGCCTTTGTTATTGAACAAGCCCCTTCCACCATTGGCTTTTAGCCAAAAGAGATGCCGGCTCTTTTGTGGTCTTTGAAAACATCAAAACTGCCTTCCGGCATTCACACATGACGTTAGTGTTCTTATTATACGTGACTTTATTACCAGCAGATGGCAGCATTTTCTCTGGTGTGAGTTTAGTTAAAAAATCTTTTGACCTTGTCTTAACTTGATTTGTGACTTTGTCCCTACATGACTTTTGACCTTGTGACTTTACTTTATATTTTACTATGTCGAAACGTGACTTTGCATGACTGCTGACTTTTGATTGGTGACTTTTTCAAAACATGAAGCGTGACTTTGTGTCCTAACTTTATACGTGACTTTTTCCAAACAAGACTAATGACTTGGTGTCCTAACTTTATATCAATGAGCAAAGTGCATAAATTCCCATCTAAATATAGTACTCTTTGGGAAAACCAGTTTTGCAAAATTATGATTACCCTGATTTGAGTCATGTGGTTTTTCTGTTCGAACCAAAAGTGTTTATCGTACAAACAGACTGAATCCGAGCTTCATATCTGTTTTATCATCCAAAATGGAATCTGCCAATCGACTAGATAAAATAGATCTATAATAGATTAGAAGATTGAGCACTTTAGCCATCGATGTGGGACGTGTCTAAAATGACTCTTGTCTTTTCATCTAATCATGAATCACTACGTTTGTCTTGATTGCATTCTTATCATCCATGACTATAAACAATGTATTTGATCAAATCAACATCAATGCACACTTATTTTGTGCTGCTTTCAAACCTAACTCTGGATTATGTGTGGAACAAACATGATCATGGCTTTTTGTCTGGAAAGGCACAGGGATCGGAATCTTCAGACACTACAGAAGCGATTGCTGGTGTTTTTAATAAAAGTTTTAATAAAAGAAAAAAAATCCAGTTTTTTTTACAACATAAACCACAAAAGCTACAAAAACACAATTAGTTTAAAAAAGAGACTTCTATATACACATTCTGTTATAAAATGTTACAAATTTCTAGGGCTATAATCAAAGAAATTCTTGGTTGACAAAAGCTGTGAAACTTTGACTGTAAATTGACTAATCGGCGGGGGGAGAGGGGTTCTGAATTATAGAACAGGTAATTATGTTTTTAAAAAATTGGTATGTTTTTTTCCAGAATTTGTTCTTTTCTGCATGTTACTTGTCAAAATACAGCATTTTGAAAAAATAATCTTAAAATAAGGTTTTTTGGGAATATTTCACCACAACCCTAATTTTTGATCACATAATTTTTGAAAATCTTTGAAAATAATTTTCTCAAAATTTCTTCTTTTCTGCTTGTTTCTTATCAAAATGTAGCATTCAAGAATAATATAAATATGTTGACAAAATATTCAAAATAAAAAATTCCCAATTTTTTCTTCCCCATTCCCTAATTTGATGAGATGCAGAAAACATAACATTTTGAATTTTTTTTTTCAAAATATTTCATATAATGCGAAATTGGGATTTTGTCAAACAATCCCAAAAGAAAATTACCCCAAAAATGTTCAAAAGGCTCTAATTTAATAAGCAACATGCAGAAAACAAAAAGTCGAAATTGTTTTGAAAAAATTCAAAATTTTATGTTTTCTGTATGTTTCTCATCAAATTAAAATTTTTTTGAAAATTTTTGAGAAAATTTTTTTTTAATTTGTCAAAATCAAAATTTTGCATGTCATATTGGTCAAAAGTTTGGTCAAAAGATTTATGAAAAAAATTAAATTTTGTTGTGTTTTCTACATGTTTTTCATCAAGTTAGAGCATTTAGAAAAATATTTTTTGGAATATTTTGTCAACATTTTGTCAGTATTCTGTCTTGTTGATTAAGTGAATGAAAATGGATGAATGGATGTCATGTGAAAACAAATTTTGTTTTCTGTTTCACATCAAGTTAGAACATTTTGAAACATTGTTGGGGAAAATTGGGGGAATTTTTGAGCAAAATCCTAATTTCGCACAAAAGTTGAAAAACTCATTAAAATATTTGAAAATAACAATTTCAAAATTTTATGCTTTCTGCATGTTTCTTAACAAAATGTAGCATTTTGAATTTTTTTGTAAAAAAAGGTTTTTAAAAATGTTTTAGAATTTTTTTTTTATTATTCGGCAAAACCCTAATTTTTGGGCAGGTGTTAAAATATTTCTTTTCATAATTTTATCTTCATGTTTCTCATCAAAACAGATTTTTGAATTATCAAGAATCATTTTATAAAGAATCTTTTTTTAAAAAAAAAAATCTTTCTTTTGAATTTTTAATTAAACCTTTATTTTTGGTCAGATGTTGAAAAATTTTTAAACATTTTTTAAAAAATGTATTTAAAAAACTTTATCTTTTCTGCTAAGGCTGCTCTGCAAAATTTTTTAAAATTTTTTTTTAGAAAAACAATTGTTTTGGATTTTTTGATAAAACCCTTGTTTTTGGTCAGATATTGAAAAATTTCAAAGAAAATATTGAAAAAAGCATTTTTAAAATGTTATCTTTTCTGCATGTTTCTCATCAAAATATAGCTTTTTGAAAACATTTTTGTTGTATGTACAAAATATAGCTTTTTGAAAACATTTTTTAAATGTATTTTAAACATTTTTAGAAAAATTTAATTTTTTGGAATTTTTGACAAAACCCTTGTTTTTGGTCAGATATTGATACATTTTTTTTTAAAAAAAGTAAAATTTTTGTGTCATTTCCGGTCAAAAACTAAAAAAGTTTGACAAAAGTTTTTAATAAAATTATTTTTTAATGGTATCTTTTCTTGCATGTTTCTCATAAAATAAGGGAATTTACAAAATATTTTTACACATTTTGTTCTATAAATTTTTTTTGTCAAAATGTGAACTTTTTGTGTCATTTCCGGTCAAAAACTTAAAAGGTTTGACAAAAATTCTTTAAAAAAATATTTCTTAAAATGTGATCTTGCATGTTTCTCATAAAATTAGGGCATTTAGAGAACATTTTTAGAATTTTTTTTCCATAAACACTTCTGTCAAAATGAAAACTTTTTTTGTCATTTCCGATCTAAAACTAAAACAGTTTGACGAAAATTTTGGTAATTTTTTTTTATTTTTATCTTTTCTTGCAGGTTTCTCATAAAATTAGGACATTTAGAAAATATGTTTAGACATTTTTTTCCATAACATTTTTGTGTCATTTCTGGTCAAAAACTAAAAAAGTTTGACAAAAGTTTTTAATGAAATTATTTTTCTAAACATATCTTTTCTTGGATGTTTCTCATAAAATTAGGGCATTTAGACAACCTTTTTAAAAATATTTTTAATAAAACCTTCTGTCAAAATGTGAACTTTTCGTCTTGTTTCTGGTCAAAAATTATTTTTAAAAATGTGATCTTTTTTTGCATGCTTCTCATAAAATTAGGGCATTTAGAGAACAATTTTGGAAATTTATTTTTATAAAATGCTTTTGTTAACCCCATTTGTTAACCCCCAAATTTTGTCATTTTTTTTAGTTTTTATTCAGTCTGTTTAAC